CTAAACTCTTTGAAAAGGCTGTCTACAATAAGTGTCTCCCCTTTCTCTCCTCCCACTCTCTTCTTAACACCTTACAATCCAGCTTCCAAGAGTATCATTCCACCAAAATTACTCCTTCCAAATTTACTAGTGACCTCTTAGCTGCTAAATCCAATAGCCCTTGCTCAATCTTCATTCTTCTTAACCTTCAGTCTTTGATACTGTTGATCACCCTCTCCTCCTTGATACTTTCTTCTCTCTGGGTTTTTGGGGCACTCTCTCCTCCTTCCTCTCTGCTTCTTCTCAGTCTCCTTTGCTGGATCCACCTCCAGATCATGCCCTCTAACCACAGGCTCTGTCCTGGGCCTCTTCTCCATCATCTCATCAGTTCCCATGGATTTAGAGTCTCTATGCTAACAATTTTCAAATATACCTATCCTGCCCAAAAATCTCTGCTGACCTCCAATCTTGCATCTCCAACTGCCTTTCAGACATCTCAAATTGGATGTCCAGTTGATATCTCAGTCTTAAACTCAACATGTCCAAAAATGAACTCATTATCTTTCCCCCTAAACCAGGGATGAGGAACCTCTAGGTCCTTGGGTGCCGCCTTTTGACTGAGTCCAACTTTTTGGGTTTTTTTTTCTATTAAACATATTTTCACATTAGTGATGTTATAAGGAAGAATTAGAAGCAATAGGAGGAACCACCCAAAAGAGGAAACAAAACAAAACAGAAGAAAAAAAACAGCAAATAGTATGCTTCAATCCACATTCAAACTCCACAGTTCTTTCTTTGGATGTGGATAGCATTTTCCATCATGAGACCTTTGGAGACGTCTTAGATCCTGGCGTTGCAGAGAAGGGCTAAATCTATCAACATTAATCATCACACAACATGGCTGTTACTGTGTACAACATTCTCCTGGTTCTGCTCATTTCACTCAGCATCAGTCCATACAAGTCTTTCCAGGTTTTTCTGAAGTCCACTTGCTCATCATTTCTTACAGCACAATAGTATTCCATTACATTCATATACCACAACTTGTTCAGCCATTCCCCAATTGATAGGCATCCTCTCAGTTTCCAATTCTTTGCCACCACAAAAAGAGCTGCTATAAATATTTATGTGAGTCCTTTTCCCATTTGTATGGTCTCTTTGGTATACAGCCCTAGAAGTGCTATTGCTGGGTCAATGGGTATGCACATTTTTATAGCCCTTTGGGCACAGTTCCAAATTGCTCTCCAAAAACGGTTGGATCATTTCACAACTACACCAACAATGCATTAGTGTTCCAATTTTCCCACATCTTTTCCAACATTTATCATTTTCCTGTTTTGTCATGTTGGCCAATCTGATAGTTGTGATGTGGTACCTCAGAGTTGTTTTGATTTGCATTTCTCTAATCAATAGTGATTTAGAGCATTTCTTCCTATGACTATAGATGGCTTTAATTTCTTCATCTGAGAACTGCCTGTTCATAACCTTTGACCATTTGTCAATTGGGGAATGACTTGTATTCTTATACATTTGACTTAATTCTCTATATATCTCTTATCAGAGATACTGGTTGTAAAAATTCTTGCTCAATTTTCTACTTTCCTTCTAATCTTGGTTGCATTGGCTTTGTGCAAAAACTTTTCAATTTGATGTAATCAAAATTACCCATTTTGCATTTCATAATGTTCTCTATCCCCTGTTTGGTCATGAATTCTGTTCTCCATAAATCTGATAGGTAAACTATTCCTTGCTCTCCCAGTTTGCTTATAGTATCAGCCTTTATATCTAAATCATGAACCAAGTTCAACTGAGTCCAAGTTTTACAGAATAAATCCTTTTATTAAGGTGATTTGTTCTGTACAGTTTGGATTCAATCAAAGGGCTGCACTTAAGGACCTAGAGGGCCATATGTGGCCTCAAGGCTGCAGGTTCCCCACCCCAGCCTTAAACTATTCCCCTCTCCTACCTTCTCTATTGTTGTAGAAGGCATTACCGTCCTCCCAATCCCTCAGGCTCCCAACCTAGGAGTCATTCTCCACTCCTCACTACCTTTCACTCTCCTCTTCCCACCACCCCTCAATAACCCCCAAACCCTGCCCATATCTAATTTGTTGCCAAGGCCTGTAGATTTCACCTTTGCAATATCTTGAATACATCCCTTCTTTTCTGACACTGCCATCATTCTGGTGTAGGCCCTTATCACCTCATGCCTGGAATTTTATAATAGCCTGCTAGTGGTTCTTCCTGCCTCAAGTCTCTCTCCACTCCAACCCATCCTTCATTAAACAAATAAAGTGATTTTCTTAAAGCACAGGTTCGACTCTGTCACCTCCTTACTCAATAAACTCCAGTGGCTCCCTATTGCCTCCAGGACCAAATATAAAACCCTCTGTTTAGTGTATAAAACCACTCATAACTTAGCCTTCTCCTATGTTTCCAGTCTTCTTCCACTTACTCTCTGCCATGTACTCTTAGATCCTGTGACACTGGCCTCCTTGCTGTTCCATGTAAAAGACACTATCATTCAGTTCTAAGCATAAAATATTGAGGTCTCCAGTAACAAATAATACATGCATCCAGGAGCTGAGACAGGACAAACTAAACATGTTGAAGAAAGGCAGCTTCAGAAGACAAGACTTCTGAACAGAGAGACATGCAGTTTCAAGATTCTGTAACAGTTCCCCAGAACCCAGAAGAAAGTTGATGGTTAGTTAAACAGGAATAGGCATTGAATCTGTTATTTCATTAATACAGGGAACTTTCTGGGTGAGGAAACTCCCTCTACCAATGTAAATTGGCACCATTTCTGTAATTTATATATACAATCCAACAAACATTTATTAAGCACCTACAATATGCCAGGTACTGTGCTAAGCACTGGGAATACAATTAATGAAAAGACCATCCCTGTCCTTGACAACCTTACAAACCAAAGGAGTAGGCAACATGCAAAAAGAGGTAGAGAAGGGAAGGGTAATACAATACCAAGGGGTACCTGGAGCTGAGATATCTTGTTCTATGGAGTTCAAACCAAGCAAAGTAGCAGATGCAAGGTGAAGTGATCTGCCAGTCCAGTTTCTGCCCTCTATAAAGGAAGACATCGGGAGGAGTTTGGTAATCTACCCTCCAGCCCTCCAACAGAAGGGAAAGGAGGCCAAGGGAGCTGCAGTCAATCAAGGCTTGAGTTAGCTGAGTGGTGGTGAGTTTCAAAGTTGAGTTTATACTGGGAGAAGCATCTTGTTCCGTGAAGTGGAAACCAGAAAGGGCAGCAGACGCAAAATCCAGTATCTGTAGTTTCAGAAAGCAGCCTAGAGCACTGAGTAGGTTATTGACTTGCCTGGGATCACACAGCCAGAATGTGTCTGAGGCAAGACTTGACCCTGGATTTAAAGACTTCATGTGTAGTGAGCTAATTTCCATTATTATATTCCCTCTAGCATTATATTATCAACCTACAGTGTTAGGTACACAGACTTTTTTACTTAAAAAGATGAAATGCATAATTTTTCTTCTACTTTTTCATTTTTTTCATTTTGCTTGATTCATTCTTGTTGTCTCAAAGTTATTAGGTTCTATTGCCCAATTCTAATTTTTAAGGAATTATTTTCTTCATCTAGCTTTTATATCTCCTTTTCCATTTGGCCAACTGTACTTTTTAAGGAGTTTTTTTCTTCAGTGGATTGTCGAACCTCCTTTTCCGTTTGACCAAGTCTACCTTTAAGAAGCTGTTTTTCTTTTCCAAGCTGTTGACTTTTTTTCATGATTCACTTGCATCACTCTCATTTATTTTTCCAATTTTTCTTCTACCTCTCTCATTTGATTCCTTTCTGAGCCCTTCCAAGAGCACTTTTTGGGCTTGAGACCAATTAATATTCCCCCTTGAGGCTGGTTACTGGCTTTCTGAGCATGGGCCTCTGGGGCTGCCATCTTGCCCACTGCAGTGGGGTCAGCAGGCCTTGTGGCGCTGTTGAGCCTGGTGGCTGGTCCGTCCTTCCTCTGGCCTGCTGAGCCAGGACCTCAGAGCCTTGGTTGCTAATCTAGGCTGGGGCTGCCAGCGTCCCCCTGACTTGCCTGGACACCGACTGCCCTCTCTGCACTCCTCTTCTACCCAAGTGAGACAGACCTTTCCTGAGGTCCTTCTAAGTTGGGCTGGAAAACTGTTTCAATCCATCTTTTTGTGGGTGCTTTAGCTCTAGGGCAGATCTGCACAACTTAGAAACCTATTTGGCCTTAGATGGGTTAGACTGGAGACAGACTGACGATGGTTGGTTGCCTCGGGTCACGTGACAAACAGGAAAGTTTACAGTGGCAATCTTGCATTTTTCATGGCAGCCTGAAACCCTTTGAGAGGCTGCAATTGGCCGGGAGGCCAGGTTGTATGTCGTGCAGGCCTGCTATAGAATTTGTTTAGAGAATTGATTTAAAGTTGTTCCAGGGAAACCTGGAGAGAGCTCAGGCAACTTCCTGCCTTTTCTCCATTTCCTGGAATTGTATCACTTTTCTAAGCTCCACTATTGGTTCCATTAGTTTCATAGACATTTCCACATCCTTTAAAGTTTGTAAACTGCTTAACAAAACTTATCTCAGGAGATCATCAAAACTAAGTCAATGAAGCAGATATTACAGGTATTACTGCCTTTAAAATGTTTAATTTTTAGTTAAATTTAAATTTCAAATCAAAGTCTAAAAACATTTAAATTGTTAAAAATTTAAAGATTTTAAACATCTCCATTTTGCATAAGAGGAAACTGACGTTCAGCGAAGTCAAGTGACTTCCTCAGGGTCACACAGTTGCCAGCTGTCTAGGGTACCATTCAAATATTCAGATCTCACTAAGGACCAGAGAAATGTGCCGCAGTTCGCCTTTTAATGAAGTTTGTCCCTCTTCGGCCTCTGTGGGATGTAATTCTCTTGGATTTCCCCACCAGCTGCAGAAACGAAAGCAAGAGGTGACCTTTCTTCCGGCCTGCTTTGACCAGCCAATCAGGACGCGGCTCGGGGCAGTCCTCCGCCGGGGTGTCATGGCAGCCTCCACGCGCTGCTGCTTATGCCTGCGGCTCCGGGCGCTGAAGAGCAGGCCCTTCCCCGGGCTGGGCCGGACCCAGCGGCTCCCTCCGAGACAGGCGCGAGCGCTCTGGGGAAGCACGAAGCCCAGGACCGCGACCGTGGACTTGGGCAGCAGGTAGGGCAGCTCCTGGCGCCGCCGCCAGCCCTTCTGAGCACTAGCACTTTCTGTCTCCGCCGCGGGCCCGGGTCTCTGATTGCCCAGATCCGTCTCGGGCGTCCTCGCTCTCCCAGCCCCGGTCCCACTAACCCCCCAGGCCTCCCTGGGTGGACCTCCGCCCACCTGGAGCCCTTAACACTCCCAGTTCTCTCAGGTCCCGGCCCCGCTCCCAGCCCCCTCTGAGCCCCAGTGAAGCAATTGAGCCACCTCCACAGGGCGAATGAGAATTAGGAGTTGGAGGGCTTCATTTCCTTCTCCTCCTGCCTTGGGGAAGTCTTTTAAACTTCGCTGAGCCCCAACCTCCCCGTCTGCAAAATGGAGTGCAGTGGGGAGAGCGCTGGAGACTGGAAGATCTGGGTTCAAATGCTGCCTCAGATACTTTCTAGCTTTGTAACCGCGTGCAAGCAAGGCACTTAAACTGTCCTAGTCTCAGTTTCCTCATCTGCAAAAATGAGGGAGTTGTACTGGATGGCCTCCCAGGCGCCTTCTAGCACCAAATCTGTGACTGCGAAATAAAATCTTCCTCACAAGACTGTCGAGGAGATAGAACGAGATAAAACTAAGATTAAGGTGGTTGTGAGGATCAAAAGTTATTTGCGAACCTTAAAATGGTATAGTAATGAAAGCAGCGCTTAGTACAATGATTGATTGTTTACTGAACCTGGAGTTCAGTAATAAAATACAATGGAAAGAGTACTAGATTTTGGTTAAGTGGTATTCTTTTGTTTATCACTGTTAACTTTCATAATTTCCTTATATGTAAAATAAGGGAGTTTAACTGCCTTACCTCTTATGCTCTTTCCGTTTCTTAATCCTCTAATTCTTCCCCTGTTGTTTCTGTCCTGTGCTATTTGCCCAAGTCCCATGTTTTTGTTGACCCTTGGTATCCAGATTGCTGCCTCAAAGTTTCAGATGACTTTTTAATTGTCAAATTCATTGACTTTTTCTCAAACCACATTCTTGATATTTCTGCTGTGTTGACCAGGTTGACCTCCTATAGATTCAATAATCAAGTAGTCAAACAAGTATCTATATGTTAAGCTTTTACTGTTTACCAAGCCCTGTGGTAGGCCACTAGAGATACAAAGATGAAATCAAAACAGCCACTGCCCACAAAGAGCTTACATTCTGTGGGGAAGAGCATGGAATAGTGTGCCTGCATATTAGACACAAAATATATACATAGTCATTACTGGGCAGTTTGGGCCAAGGTAGGAAGCACTGGGACTTGGAAAGGTCTCCTGTTGGAATTTGAACTTAAACTGATCTTTAAAGGAATCTAGAGATCTAAGTAAGAGGCAGAGATCAGGAGGGATTACATTCCAGGCATTTATAAAAAAGCATGGAGTTAGATAGATCGCTATGTATAAAGAACATCAGTCTGACTGAATTGCAGAGTGTGTGAATGAGTGTAATGGATAGAAAGTTTTAAAGGGTAAGTTGGAGCCTGATTTCAAAGGACTTTAAATGCCAGCAGAATGTGGCAATAAAGAGCCACTGGAGCTTCTTTTGTTGGGGAGTGACATGATCAGACCTGTGCTTTATGACACTTAAGTGCCTGAGTGGAATATCGATTGGAGGGGAGAAGTCAGAGGCTGGATGACTGATTTAGGAGTGTCTTTTGCCATGGTCCAGTTAAAAAGATAATAAAGGTCTGAAAGTCTGAACTAGACTTTCACTGCTTGTGAGGGGAGAGAATGTGAGAGAATGAAGATAGAATTCTCAGGACTTGGTAACCAATTGAATTTGGGGGAGGGGGGTGAAAAATAGAGGATGACTTCTGGGTTGTAAACTGGAGGGGTAGTAGTACTCTTGATAGAACTAAGAAAGAAAGGACAGGGTGGTCAGGAGTCTCATACTGCAAGAAGACAAGAAGGAAGAGGATTGAGAAAAGACCACTGTTAGATTTAGCAATAAAGAGAACCCTGAAACTTTGAATCAAGTGGTATATATAGAATGAAGCCAGAAGAAGTTTTGTGGATAAAGAGTTTTATTTTAGACTTGTTGAATTTAAGGTGCCTTTGGGACATCCATTTGGAAACGTCCACTAGGAAGTTAGTGTTGAACGGCTGGTTTTGATCTTAGATTATTTGCATAAAGATGAATCCTTGGGAGCTGATGGACTCACCATAGGAGTATAGAAAGAAAAGAAGACACAGGACGAAACTGGGTTCCAACCACAGTTGATGAGGGAAGGGAAAAGAGACATCGATAATGATCCAGCAAAGGAAGCTAAAGAGTAATCAGGCTGGCAGGAGGAAAGAAAGCAAGAGGAGAAGGTAGTTAGAAGTGCCAAACAGTAAAGAGAGGTCAGGAAAAATGAGTACTGAGAAGAGGCCCTTGAATTTGGCTATATTGGACATTTAAGGGAGAGCAGTTTCAATTGAATGATGAGGTTGTAAGCTAGATTGAAGAGAATGAGAGGAAGTGGAGTCAGAGGTTGATGACACCTGACCTGTGGGTCCTCCAAGCTATCATGTGTATGTTTGTGCATGCATGCATACATACATACGTACATACACACATATATGTCTATAGAGATCTCCCATTCACTAGAAAAAGCTGTCTACACTCATTGCCTCCATTTGCCCACCACCAGTTTTCAGTTTCAGCCTCTTACAATCTGGTTTCATTCTCTGTCACTTGTAAGAAGCTGCCCTGTCTAAAGTCACCAGGGTTCTCTTTATTGCTAAATCTAATAGTCTTTTCTTAATCCTCTTTCTTCTTGATCTCTGAAGTATTTGACATTGTTGGGTACTCTGTGCTTCTAAAGATTCTCATCCTTGGTTTTCAGAACACTACTCTCTATTTTGGATGTCTTCCTATCTGTCTGACCATGATATGCTTTGTAAGATCATTATCATGCCCAGCACCTTATTGTGAATGTGCCAAAGCACCTATTCTAGGCCCTCTCTTCTCTCTGCTCTCTCTTGGTAATCTCTTCAATTAGTCAACAAATGCCTATTTTGTTCCAGCTGCTCAGGATACAAAGAAATAAATGAAACTGTCCTCTTTCTTCAAGGAGCTTACATTCTATCAGAAAATACAATGTGAATTTAAATAAATCAATACAAAATCACACTATTTACAGGGTAAATTTTTGGGTGGGAAGGGAAGCTGGCAGGGGAAAGGGAAAGGCTTCATGCAGAAGATGTCACTTACCGAGAGGAGTATTAACCAAGGATTCTTTTTTTTTTTAAATTTATTTATTTTTAGTTTTCAGCATTCACTTCCATAAGCTTTTGAGTTTTAAATCTTCTCCTCCTCCCTTCCCAAGACAGTGTGCAATCTGACATAGGCTCTACATATACATTCCTATTAAACATTTTCACATTAGTCATGTTGTAAAGAATTAGAACCAATAGGAGGAACCACAAGAAAGAAGAAAAAAAACCAAATAGTATGCTTCAATCTGCATTCAAACTCCATAGTTCTTTCTCCAGATGTTGATAGCATTTTCCATCATAAGACTTTGGAGTTGTCTTAGATCCTTGCATTGCTGAAAAGAGCTAATTCTATCAGTTATCGCACAATGTGGCTGTTACTCTGTACAACGTTCTCCTGGTTCTGCTCACTTCACTCATCATCAGTCCATACAAGTCTTTCCAGGTTTTTCTGAAGTCCACTTGCTTATCATTTTCTTATAGCACAATAGTATTCCATTACATTCATATACCACAGCTTGTTCAACCATTCCCCAATTGATGGCCGTTCCCTCAATTTCCAATTCTTTGCCACCACAAAAAGAGCTGCTATAATATTTTTGTACATGTGGGTCTTTTTCCCATTTTTATGATCTCTTTGGGATATAGCCCTAGAAGTGCTATTGCTGGGTCAAAGAGTATGCACATTTTGATAGCCCTTTGGGCATAGTTCCAAATTGCTCTCCAAAATGGTTGGACCAGTTCACAACTCCACCAGCAATGCATTAGTGTTCCAATTTTCCCACATCTTCTCCAACATTTATCATTTCCCTGTTTTGTAACATTAGCCAACCTGATAGGTATTATGTAGTACCTCAGAGTTGTTTTGATTTGCATTTCTCTAATCAATAGTGATTTAGAGCAGGAAACCAAGGATTCTAAGAGCCAGAAGTAAAGTAGGAACACCTTCCATGCTTGGGGGACAACCAGTAATCTCTATGCAGATGATTTGAAAACCAAGAATCTATAGTAGATAGCAGTGAACTTGGGAGTGAAGAAGACCTAGATTCAAGTCCTACCTAAGATACTTCCTAGCTGTGTGACTTTGGAGCAAGTAACTTAAGCAATCTGGGCCTCTATTTCCATGGGAGGCTGGATTCAGTGACATCTGAGATTCCCTTCTAGATCTCAATCTATGATCTAGCTACATATCCATCCTTCATTTGTCTCCTGAGCTCCCATTTCCACACTTCTAACAGCCTACTAGACATCTCCATAGATGTTCCAAAGTCATCTCAAACTAAATATATCCAAAACAGAACTCACCCTACCTCCTCCTAACTTGCCATTTCATAAGATCATGGATTTAGGGCTATAACAAACCTTAAAAGCTATAGAGTCCACCCCCTCTTTTTTACAGATGAGGAAACTGAGGCCGAGAGAAGATCACATGGCTAGTAAGTAATTGAGGTGGAACCAGTATATATTCAAATCCCCCTAGACACTCACTGTGTGACCCAGGGCAAGTCATTTAACCTCTCTCAGCCTCAGTTTCTTCATCTGTAAAGTGGGAATAATAACAGCAAATGAGGTAGTAATTGTAAAGCATAGTACCTGGCACATAGTAAGCACCATATAAATGTTAGTAGTTGTTGTTGTTGTTATACCATACTGCTTCTGGGGTAGCATGTCACTGACAAGGTATGCAACTTTGAAATTGTGCTCAACTCTTCACTGTCACTTTCCCCCATATTCAGTCATTCAGCATCTCTAGCATCCATCTCTTCTTTCTTCTTACATCACAACTATCCTAGTTTGTTGTTCAGTCATGTCTGACTCTTTGTAAACTCATTTGAGGTTTTCTTGGCAAAGACACTGGAGTGTTTGCCATTTCCTTCTCCAGCTCATTTTACAGATGAGGAAACTGAGGCAAACAGTGTTAGGTGACTTGCACATGGTCACACAGCTAGTAAGTATCTGAGGCTAGATTTGAACTCAGGTCTTCTGTCTCCAGGCCCAGCACTCTATCCACTGTGCCACCTAGCTGCCCAACCTAGACCAGACCCTTAACATTTCTTGCCTGGACTGTTTTAGTAGCCTCTGTTGGTCTCCCTGCCTCAAGTCTCTCCACTTCTAAAATATCTTGCACATAGCTGCTTACTTGATATTCCTAAAGAACAAGTTCCGACTATGTCACTCTTCTGCTCAAGAAACTACAGTGGCTCCCCTATAGGATAATATACAAATTCTTCTGTTTAGCATTTAGTCTTTCATAATGGCACCAGACAAAGTTTTTCAAGCTAATTACACATTATTCCCCCTCCTTGTACTATATCACTCTCCAAACAAACCTAGTTGTTAATTGTGCTCAGTATTAGAACTTCTCACCTTCATTCATTTACAGAATCTGTCCACTACATTTAGAATGTTCTCCCACCATACCTCTGTTTCTTGGAAACCCTAGCCCTCTCCAAGACTCAGCTCAAAAGGCTTTTCCTTATTTTCTCAGTTGTTAACCTACCTCCATCTCTTTTCTGTATTTCATGTATCATGTTTTTACTTATGTGTGACCATGATGTATTCCCCAGTAGAATGTTAGCTGCTTGAGGACAGGGACTGTTTCCCTTTTGTTTTTGCATCTCTAATGTCTAGCCCAGTGCCTCCCACATAGTAGGCACTGAAATTAATACTTGTGGATGGATTGATTGATGAGTATAATTTCAGTAGGCAGAAAGGAAGAGAGAGATGGCAGTCAAGGCAGAGAAAACATGAAGTACCATAACATGTAGAAGAGAGAAGGCTGGAACAAAGATTGTATTGAGGGCATATTGGGAAGTGAGGCTGGTGGTGCCAAAATATGAAAATGTTTAAAGCCAGGCAGAGAAATTTGGACTTGATGCAGAGAAACCTTTGTAAGTTTGTCAGCAGATTATACTTGATGTAGTCTAGAGGTGCTTGAAGTGGGGTCTGTGAACTTGAGTTGTTTTTTTTCCCCACTGTTTTGATCATTGTATTTCAATATAATTGATCTCCTTTATAGTTCTATGCATTTTTTATGCACTTAAAAACATTCTGAGAAGGGGTCCATATTCTTCACCCTACTGCAGAAGGGTTTAGAACCTCTAGTGTAGAGTTTTACAAAGATTAATCCTACAACTGCTTAGAGGATTAGATACTTGGAGGCTTGCTAGGAATACCAGTGTAATTCTGGTGTGAGGTGATAAAGTCCTGAATTAAAGGTGTAACTGTGGGAGTAAAAGGGTGGATACCATAGACTTTTCCAAAGAAGAAAGAGTTGGAATTGGAAATTCGAAGGATTTAGAAGGAATTCCAGTTTATCACTTAACCTCATTCTGCTTCAGTTTCTTCTTGTATAATATGGGATAATGATGGCACCTTCCTTCTAGGGTTCAAACTAGAGAACATAAGGAAAGCAGTTAGCAAACTTTAAAGCTCTTTAAAAATTCTATAAAAACTCTACATAAAGTGTTATTATTACTAGCATTAAATGAACACCCTGATCTATTCAAGAGAACTTTGTAGGTTCTCTGTATGAGGGCTGTCGATTGAATTGATATGTCAAGTCCTTTTGGTTTTCTTTTAAACAGAAAACTAGAAATATCCTCTGGAAAACTGGCTAGATTTGCAGATGGCTGTGCTGTAGTACAGGTAAAACATTATGGTTTTTAATTTTCAATTTTTAAAAAATGGTTACTGGACCTGGTTTTAATTTCTTCCATAATAATGAATATGGATAATGTAAGAATCTTGGTAGTGGAAGTAAATTCAGGGATTATCTAGTTTATTTCCACTATTTTTATCAAAACTGTTCCAGAGCAGGTACCCTTTCTTATCTTTCATATTTCAAAAAACAAAAATCATTTCACTGCATTAATTAAGTTAGATAGTCTAGTATCTTATAAACTTTTATGCAGGAAGTTTTATTGATCTATAGTTATATCTCTTGTTCTGTTTCTAATGATGATAGAGAAAACTACTAGGCTTACTTGTTTCAAAATGACTTTGTTCTTGTTTTAGTCATTGTTGCATAGCAGGAGTCTGCTTTTGGCCACTTAAGATTCATTAAAGTCTCTGTTAGGAAAAACATTAATCTTCCATTGAGTTTAATTGAAGTAAAGTAGCAACTCATTCTTTTTTAATCTTTCTATTAAATAATTGGAAGCTGTTGGTATATTGATAATTCCTAGTGCTAATGCTACTTACTGTTGTTTGATGTATTTTTGTATTTTTTTAAGTCAGGTGAAACAGCTGTGATGGTTACAGCAGTCAGTAAAACAAAACCTTCACCTTCTCAGTTCATGCCTTTAGTGGTAAGTACCAGATAATTTGTCTGAAATTGTGATAGCTTCTAAAGAATACAAAGGGAAAAAATGGGGGGGGGGGGGAATATCTCCATATTACTTGATTCTTTGGACAAAGTATCTTGGCTAGGGATGAGTCTAGGTCACTTTTTTAAATGGGTCATTAAATTCATGACAGTAAGTGGCTGTCTATAGACTCTAATGATCTCCTTACATATATAGTAACAGATTTGCAAAGAGGCAGATTTTATTTTGGCCTATAAAAGCTTTTCATATGTAGCATGGTGAAACAGTAGAACCTTAGTTGCACTAGAGGGGCAACTAGTTGGGACAGTGGATAGATTGCCAGACATGGAGTCAGGAAGACTCCTGTTCCTGAGTTCAAATCTGGCCTCAGACACTTACTAGCTGTGTGACCTTGGGCAATTCACTTAACCCTATTTGCCTCAGTTTTCTCACTATAAAATGAGCTGGAGAAGGAAATGGCAAACCACTCCAGTATCTTTGCCAAGAAAACCTCAAATGAGATTACAAAGAGTCAGACACAACTGAACAGCAGTTGTTATAGAAGTTAGCAAAGGAGGCAGTAAGAATTTCTCTTGCCCTAAAGATATTTAGAAGAGATTTTTTTATTGGATGAAACATTAAATTAGATGGCCTTTAAGATCACTTTCAACTTAAATTCTGTAAAACCTTTGTCTTGTAAATATAAAATAAAATAACACTGTATTTGCTCCAAAGAATAAATTGCTATCTGTCCCAGGTAGATAATTATTTGTAAGGCAATGGTCGGTGTTAGACTAGAGTTTGTAATAATATAGCTACTGTTGGAATTCATAAGAACGATTCTGTTTTCACTTAAGGTTGACTATAAACAGAAGGCTGCTGCAGCAGGTAGAATTCCCACAAACCATCTTAGAAGAGAGTTTGGTTCTTCTGATAAAGAAATTCTCACAAGTCGAATTATAGGTAAGAAAAAAACACAAAAATAATTCCATATGATCATTTAAATTACTTCTTGGGGTACATGGGGTGAGAGAGAGTGAAGAGAAGATCATGCTAAGGTTACGAACCTGGTAGCCCAGGAAATTTGGAAGAGAGGTGGGGATAATGATTTCAGATTTGAACATGTTGAGTTTAAGATATCTCTGGAACATCCAGTTTGAAATGTCCAGTAGGGAATTGTTGATGTGTATTTGAAGCATAGGGAAGAGACAAGAACTGGATATAGAGATCTATGAATTATCTACATAGAAATGCTAGTTAAACCCATGGAAGCTAATGAGGATACTGAGAGAGAGAATGTAGATAGAAAGGTAGAGTAATGTGAGATTGTGGAGTTTTTGAATGGAAAGCAAAGGAGTTTTAACTTTATTTAGTAGACAGTAAAGAGCCACTAGAGATTTTTTTGATCAGAAAAGTGATGTGAACATATGTATTTGTAAGAATGAGTATTCTGACAGCAATAGAAAAGATGATAGAAGCAAGAAGAAAGTGAATAAGATGTTTTTATCCCCCATGTTTTTCAGTAGTCTTCACTTGAATGATTTCTAAAAATTTTGTAGTATTCGCCTACTAGATTAATTCTATGGATTATTCCTAAACTCTTTAGTATACCCAGATATTTCAACTGGGGCTGTTTTTGAAGTGTCTTAAGTTGCATTTCTTGGAATGGGTGGAAAGGATGTAAAAGTGGTTTATAGCTATAACCACACTTAAGTGGCATTGGCAAGAGGGAAGGAATTGGGAAGGATTTTCTTTTCCACTGGTGTTCAGTTTTTATGTCTTTATTCCCTATTTCTACTTTTAAGTAATGGCTTTAGGACCATAATGAAGATAAATTCCCCTTTCCACTCCTTTTGGCCTTTGCCAAAAACTATAAACTTTACCTTCTTACTTCTTAGCTGCTTCTAAGACCACTATAGTGCTTGTGCATCATACTTCTACAAAGCCCTTAGGCACCTACATTATTACCAGGGATGGAATAAACATATATAAGTGATATCATTCCATTCATTTGTGTTCTGCTTAGTAAGTCAGCTTGAGAAAAAAAGGAAATTCTTCATATTGAACAACTCTGTTGTTTTTAGCCAGATTCTTAATACAAAAAGTCTGTTAAGGGGCAGTTAGGTAGCACAGTGGATAGAGCACTGGCCCTGGAGTCAAGAGGACCTGAGTTCAAATCCAGCCTCAGACACATGATACTCACTAGCTGTGTAACCCTGGGCAAGTCACTTAACCCCAAGTTCAAATGCAGCCTCAGACACATAGCACTTACTAGCTGTGTGACTCTGGGCAAGGCACTTAACCCCAATTGCCTCATCAAAAACTAGAGAAAGAAAGAAAGAAAGCCTATTAATTATCACTTAATGATAAACAAATATCCCCACAAAACTATTTTAAAACCTTTTTTTTTTCCCCTCAGATCGTTCAATCAGACCTCTCTTTCCATCAGGCTACTTTTATGATACACAGGTAAGTTCTGTTTAGTATATTTTTAAAGTCAGTATTTCTTAAGTATCTACTGTACTGGTCACAAGAAAATAGAGATTCTTCTTGGTAGTATTACTTTTTAAGCTGAATGAATAATGAATAAATACAACATTCATTCCAAATGATAATTGGAGATTTACTGAAAAGATGTTTTGATCAGTAATAGTAACTCACATGTCCATAAATTTACACAATGCTTAAAATTCAAAATAAACACCATGAGGAGTTGCAGGAATTATTTTTCTCACTTTATAGATGAGGAAATGGTGGCTTAACCAAAGTCCTAACTCAAAACTAACTCAAAAGTGAGATTCAAACCCAGCCTTCTCTTCTCACTAAGTTCAGGGATCCTCTACTATACATAGTGCCTCTCCAGTAGAACAATTTTTAAGGTACAATGTAGAACACAATTTAATTCTTATTTTCTATTAATTAAGTTCTCCCTGGAGAAAAAAATTTTCATCACACTTTTGGTTACAAGTAAATTTGTTAGTAATAGGCTTTATTGTTAGTAATGCAATTTATCACTAATTTAAGTAACATCGCAATAATATTTGTTGAAATAATTCTTGCCAAGTTAGAATAAGTATAGAACAGTAAAAAAGAGAATTTTGATGTTTCCCTTTAGAAAGACTCTTCACAGTACATTTATGTAGAAAAGAAGGATTTCTTGTCTCTTTTTAAAAGTATATATTTTGATGCCCCATACTGAATTCAATCTTTGCATAATCAAAATACCAGTGAAGGTGTATGGGGTTGTCTAATTACAGTAGAATTATTTGGCTTAATAGATGTCTGGTATTTTTTTAGTCTTGTTTCAATCCATCAGTCAGTAAACATTTGTTAAGCATTTATATTCCAAGTAATATACTAAGTATTTGTTTACTCTGAGTCCAATTTTTAACATTTTTGTTTTTACTATATAAACTTTAACACAGTACTTAGCATGGCACCTTGTCTGTAAATATTCGTACTTTGGATAGATGGTTGGTTGATCTAGCTTGTTTATCTTGGAAGGTGGTCTAATAAAGTCATAATTATAGGTTTGATTCCTGTTTTTTGCTGTATTCTTTGGCTGTAGACTGAATTTCTCAACCTAGCCAGATGTTTAGAGTATATAATGGCCCTTGGTCACAAAAGTAACAAGTGAGTGTGATTAACTTAGTGCAACCATCACTAGTGCCCAAGGCTTTTCTACTAATGATGTTAATAAATTAAATGGCACAAGTCAAGCCCCTTCTCACTATCTGATCTCAGATAACAATTTTTATTGGATTTTTCCAATAAACTTACACCTTTTTGGTATGTTACCTTTTTGAATGACAAGTATTCTTCAGATAGTTGTTTGTTTTGTACAAATGGATTTCCACTATTTTCTTTTCCCATCCTTTGCAAGGATGTTTCAGCCTCAGGTAAATCTGTTATTAATACTATGTTACCTATTCAGTTATAATCAGTTATGAAAGGCATGTTATTTGTTATATGATTTTAAACTGATGTTGATATAAATGATTTTCCTCAATGATTTTTAAAAGTTTTCCTTTTTTTTTTCTTTCACATCAGGTTCTTTGTAATCTTTTAGCAGTAGATGGTGTTAATGAGCCCGATGTCTTAGCAATTAATGGTGGTAAGTCCAAAATCAGAGATTTTACAATTAATATTTTAGTTATTCTAACAGCTTAAAAAAGTTTTTTTTATTTGTTTTGTCTTGCTTGTTTTTAGCTTCTGCAGCCCTCTCATTATCAGATATTCCTTGGAATGGTCCCATTGGTAAGTCAAGATTTGAATGTAGGAAATATAACTAAGGTTACTTTTACAAAGTAATATGTAATTTGTAAAATGATTACATGCCTATTGGGTTCACAGCACTAAATTAGCTGATGGAGATACAAAGATAAAAAATTACATATTCCCTGCCCTCAGGGGCTTAGAGCATAATAGAGAAATAATCCATTTTCACATAAGTATAATATAAGGTAGAATGTGATAAGATAGCAAAGGAGAGATCTATTCAAAGTACTCTTAAGAAAATTGAGGAGGGTAGAAAACAATGTGCTATAAGAGTGAGGAGAGGTAGAATAAAGTAGATAGAATTTTACAAAGGATATGTTGCCTGAGCTGAGCTTTAAAGGCAAAGAAGGATTTAAACAGCAAAGATAATAGTATATGTTCCAGAAACAAGGAATAGCCTGCATAAATTCAGAGGCAGGAGACAGCATGCTGAGTTCAGGAAACAGCTAGTAGTTCAGTTGAACATGGATATAGGGTACATAAGGACAAGTTAGGTAAAAAGGCTAGAAAGATAACTTGGAGTCAGATTATAGAGAGTTTTTAGCTAGCAGGAGGGTGTAGTCAGTGATTTTTAAAATGCTCCAGAAAGGTCAAGGAATAGAAAACTGAGGAAAATCCATTAGATTTAGCACAAAAGAGGTTACTGAGGACCCTTGAAAGAGTAGTTTCAGTAAGTGGTAGGATTAGAAGCCACATTTCAAAGGGTTGCAGAGCAAATTAGTAGTGAGGAAGTAGGGGCAGTGGGTATAGGCAGGGTGAGGAACATGTGGCCCTCTAGGTCCTCAAGTGTGGCCCTTTGACTGAATTCTTTTATTAAGGGGATTTGTTCGGTGAAGTTTGGATTCAGGCAGAGGGCCTCACTTGAGGACCTAGAGGCCTGAGGCTGAAGGTTCCCCACCCCTGGACTAAGCATTTAGAATTGAGTAGGAAACATAATAGGCCTAAAGTTTGAAGGAATGGCAGGGTCAAGGGAGATAGAAAGGAACGTGTTCAAAGGTGCAGGTGGAAGAGTAGTCCATCTTGACAAGAAGAAATATCAGTTTGTCTTCTGGAGCTAAGTCATAAGTGGAAAAGATAAATGAAAATGTACAGGTTTGGAGATAAGGCCTCTCATGACAGATAGGCTCAGACTTTTCAAGAGAAGGCAAAGTCATCTCTGAGATGGTAGAAATTATATTGAAGACTTTGAAAAGAGCAATTTAGGAGCAGCAGAGATGTATGATAGGGAGCCAATCAGAAATAAAGTAAAGGATTGCCATATAGTGGTAGGAGTGAAATTGTAATGGACTCACTTTGCATATTTTGTGACTTCTTCTTTGTTCAGCAACTCCTGAGTATCCATGGAAAAATTACGGATGACACATAGTTGAGGATTATTAGGACATGTTAAAGGATGGAGAATAAGGGCTTCAGATGGCAAGCAATGAGAGTCCAGTTGGACTGGGTCCCAACTGTGAAAGGACAGCAGTAAGGCCAGAACAGAAGTGGTAAACTAGAACATGGTAGAGATTGAGAAATTGGATATTGTGAGGACAAAGAGCAGGTTTAGGAATGAGGCATTTGGAGAAGTGGAATCATACAAGGTTGTGATCCAAAAGAGACATTTTAGAGTTCAAGATTTTGGTGATAGTAGAACAATTGCAGATGGTGGTGAGGCATAAGGTGAGAATGGCAGTGACAAGAGATAGATTGGAATCATCCTCATTGAAGAACTTAGGAGGCCAGAGTATTAGGAGATCTTACATAAGTAGCAAAATCAGCAAGGCTTAAGGCAGTAGTTGGGGTAGAGGAAAATTGTGAGCTGTCCTCATAGAGGAAAGAGGAAGAATAACTTGGAAGTCAGTGGATAACAGTAGTAAGGATCCAGAAAGTATGCTATAATCAAATGATATAAAATTCAAGGCGTAAGTTTCTGAGAAGATTCTGTAAGTTGCATAAAATATGCTGATTTCTGGACCTGTGGGCATTGAGAAAAGGAGGTACCAGCATTGGAGAGTAGTGTTTTCAGGAGAAAGCCAGCTATCAGTTTTCTGTAAGAGTCAGGAATAAGAAAGGTAAACAAGAACTTAATAACAATAGAAGGCACAAAGGCGAGGCAGGGGCTAGTGGAGGAAGACAGGAGTGGATCAGGGATTGGGCTGAATTATATGGGGACAGGAATTCAAGGAGAGATAGCAGAGGCTGAGGATTTTGCCAAGCCAGATATCTGCTCTGAATCACAGGGATTAGAGGAACCAGAAGCAGGAATTTGTTAGACATTGGGCAGAACATTGCTCAGTAAGGAGAAGTTGTAGATGAAGTCCCAAAGTTGATGTTAGGATGTTGGTGTGAAGTAGGCCTCTGTTGATCCTATATCTTATGTAGAGCTGCCTCACTTAAGTGTAATCATTTCAAATATTGCAACTTTCAAGGTTGCTGGAATCAAGTTTTGATTCTAATGATAACATTATACTAGTATTAAAGGTTTTTTTTCCTTTAAGTATGTTTACTTTTTGTCAGTTTTTATAAGAAAGCTTATTTGTGGCTGAGAATTGAGTGTCCAGACTCAGAATAATACAATGTATATGTAGGGTTTCGTTATAATACTTCCAGATATTAAAAGTATAGATAGTTATTAGTTTTTTGTTTTCCAGGAAGTAATAGGTAAAATATTTTGATATCAGTGATTTTGAGTTTTAAAATATCATTAATAATTGAAGTCCTTTTTAGGTGCAGTACGAATAGGAATAATTGATGGAGAATATATTGTTAACCCAACTAGAAAAGAAATGTCCTGTAGTACTTTAAATTTAGTGGTCACTGGAGCACCTAGCAGTCAAATTGGTAAGTATTTTGGAAATCTGATATTTTCTTGTAAGTTCACAGTTTTAAATCTAGATATGTGTATATTTTATGTTTAATTATTAAAAACTTTTTGGTAACTATTTCTAAAGTAATTTTTAGAGCCTAAAAAGCAACAATTTAATACTGAATTGTTTTGTAAATGTAATGGTGTGTATTTGTCCATTTCATTCCCTCCAACTCTTTATGATTGGATTTGAAAAAAAGGGTGGTCTGGTGTAAGGAAGCTTGATCAGAAAGATGAGAAATGAATTGATCTTGAGTCACCTAGGTGTCAATATAGAAAAGACATTGGTAAGCTGGAGGGAGCCAGGATGATAAATGGGCCACAAGATTAGACCACATAAGTACTGTTTGAAGGTAATTCAATTCAGTAAATATTTATTAAATACCTACTATGTGCCAGGCACTGTGCAAAGCACTAGGGATACAAATAAGAAAAAGAAAGAATCCCTGCCCTCAAAGAGTTTTCAATGTAATAGGGGAAGACTGCACAGAAAAGGAAGCTGGAAAGGGGAGAGAGAGAGAGAGAGAGAGAGAGATTGATTTGTAGTTAAGGGACGAGAACTACCTGCTTCTACAGCTGCCCTTTTCCAAGATGCAATATTTTATTTTGTGGGTTTTTTTGTTTGGGACTTTGTTTAAAGGAGAAAAAAAAACATGTAATTAAAAAAAATTAGTAGAGAAGATCCACATAATAAAAGCCTGCCTGAAATAAGATTAGGCTTCTCTGTTCCTATGCAGGACATGTGCAAGAATCTTAAATCTAATGAGTTAGCAGTTCAAATTAAATATCTCTTAAGATATTTATACTAAACTTTATCTTATGTGTACCTTTTTAAATTTCCTCTTTGGTTTCATTTTCTGAGAATTTATAGGAAATCTCCATTTGGAATATAATTCAAATGTGAGGACCCCAAGGTTCATATACACTTTGCATTTAAAAATTGAAACTATTTTGACTTTGGTTAAAGAAAGGAATAAGAAAAGTGGCTATAGTGTTTGGAACTAAAGGCAATTGTTTTATATTAAATTTGTGTTAGGTCATGGCTCAAGAATTGTATACTAATGTTGATTATGTTGATTTTAAAAGTAAATGAGTTAATGGATTTAATGGAAATTGGCTCCCTGTTTTTTATTTTAACAGTGATGTTAGAAGCCGCTGCAGAGAATGTATTGCAGCAGGACTTTTGTCATGCCATCAAACTTGGGGTGAAGTACACCCAACAGATAATCCAGGGGATACAGAAATTGATGAGAGAGAGTGGTAGTGCTAAGCGGACCCCTCAAAAGCTATTTTCTGCACCACCAGAGATGGTGAAATTTGTCAATAAGTAAGTACATCCATTCATACTATACAAATTGTGGAATTAGTGGCAGATTTATCTCCTTATTAGAAAAAAAAACTTTCTGTAGAAACTATGGTTACATTTATGCAGTCTTACTTTTAACCAGCACTCTTCTGTCCTAATAGTCATTGTCTTAAGTTTGTTGTTGTTGTTCTTGTTTCAATCGTGTCTGACTCTTCACAGCCTCATCTGGGGTTTTCTTGGTAAAGATGCTGGAGTGATTTGCCACTTCCTTCTCTAGCTCATTTTACAGATGAAGAAACTGAGGCAGAAAGGGTTAAGTGACTTGCCTGAGTTCACACAGCCAATAAGTGTTTGAGGCTGTATTTGAACATGAGTCTTCGGCCCAGCTGTCTATCCGATTCAGCACCTAGTTGCCCTTTGTCCTATTGTCATAAATACCTGTTCTCAGTCTTAACAAAAAAAATTTTTAAGGGCAAACTCACATTTTGCCTGCAAAATGGCCTGCACCCATCATCCCGCCCCACTGCTCTTTTTTCTTCTCCATATCAAATAAGCATGGAGTTCCTGCAGAAGGGCAAGTATGGTATTGGTAGGATTCAGTGGGGCCCATATTTCTGTTCCTCACTAGCCTGGTTCATTAAGTAGAGTAGGTTCTCCAAATGCTTTTTGAACTTGCAAAAGGAATAAGAGGAGGATAGCATATAGTTGCCTGTTTATTCAAAGCATTTACAAGTTGGGCATTTATGACTTATGAACTGCCTTTAATTAGCAAGGAAATGCAGATTTATTGTGCCTTGAAGACAGTAGGTGTTTTATAATGTTAGTAATGCCTTTAATGTATGTAAATTTAGGAAAGAAATCTATCATAGGTTAATTTTGCTAGCTTAATAATAAGATACATTATTATTCAGTCATTTGCAGCCAGATACAAAGTGTAACTATAAACAAACACTTGACTAAGAACTAGGTTGTAACAACACACCAGATTTGTTTGCATTATTTTACATGAGATCACTCGTTTAAGAACAGCTTGAAGTGACCATCCAACTAAGATAATGAATGTAAAGCACTTTACAAAACTTAAAAGTGCTACATAAGTAGCAGCTGTCATTATCTCGAGTCTGCTCGTATTAGTTTAAATGCCATATTCTTGTTCTCTTTTTAAGACATTTATTTTTTCAGATTCATCAATTTTATATTTATTTCTTCTGTCCTTGCAGGCCAAGTATGGTGGCAATTCACATTTCCTTTAAGGCTAAATCAGTATTTGAGAAAGTGACTTTTAAATACAGATATATATATATATATAGATATATATATAGATATATCTATATATATATATATGTGGAATAAACAAATGATGTTTACAAATAATACACCTTATATATGGTTTTTTTGTCCTTAAAATAGGCATGCCATGGAAAGGATCTATGCTGTTTTTACAGATTTTAATCATGACAAAGTAAGTATACTTGAGATATGTCTTAAGAATACTGTATGTAAAAGAGTTCCAAGCACTCCTATACCATATTTTACCTAATAGCGTTTGAGAATTTTGCTTCTATTTTCATGAAACGTGTGTGTGTGTATGTGTAAAATGTTTAATGCTTGAGGCATTTTCTCTGGCTGTTCTTCATGCCCTGAGCTCCCTGGCTTTCTTTAAATTAGGCAGTCAATCAACATTTATTAAGCAAGCACCACTGTGCCGGATACTCTACTAAGTCCCTACCAAAATCTCATCCTTTACTGGAAGCCATCTCCAACCCCTCTTAATCCCAGTGCCTTCCATCTGTTGATTATCTCCTAATTATCCTGTATGTACCTTGCTTTGCATATATTTGTTTGCATGCTGTCTTCCCTTTTATAATATAAACTCCTTGACGACAGGGACTGTCTTTTGCCCCTTTTTGCATCCCTAGTCCTGGCATATACTAACCACTTAATAAATATTTCTTGATTGATTAATTAAAATATCTTGAAACTTTCTTTTTTCTTGATGTCCTCATCCCATTCCTACATTTGTTAATATCTGGGTATGTGTGAATGCATCTGAATGAATATCACAGGGAAGATTTTATTTTTCTTTGTCAGCTACTAATCTTTGAAAAAAGATTCCCATTATAGAATCCCAAAATTCTATGCACACTTCACAATTTGGTCATAGTTATGTAGTAACATAAAAATATTTGTTATATTGCGAGTATTAACAGTTCATATTTACAACTGTAACTTCTTTTAGGTTTCCAGAGATGATGCTATTAACAAGATAAGATTAGATGTTGAGGAACTACTTAAAGGTACTCTGTTATTTTTATTAATAATTTTGATTTATTTTAGTAACAATAAAATTTTATAATTATTTGTTAATTGTTAATCTTTATTTGCTCAAAGGTCTAATTCCCAGGTATATAATTCTATATTTCACAGTTTGGAAATTCCAAGTTTATTTAGAGTGATTTTCTTGGGCATTTTCCTCTGTCCCACATATCTAGTCAATCTTTTTTTTTTTTTTTTTTTAATAATAGCTTCATAATAATACCTGTGGCCTCTCCCTCTGTCACCACTGTAATTCAGGCTCTTTTTACCTCTTATGGCAGTAGATTTCTGACTTTTCTTCCCTTATATCTTGCTCCCCACTGTGTATTCCAAGTGAATCTTCCTAAGGCTTATCTTTAACAGTGCTACTCCATTTTAAAAAAAGCCATCAGTGACTGACTTCCCACTGTCTATCACATAAACCCTAAACTCTAGTCATGGCTTTCAAGGCCTCCACAGTCTGGCTTCAGCCTATCTTTTCAGCCTGATCTCACACTATTTCTCTTCGGTGGCACTTTCCAGCCAAACTAAACTGCTTGGCATGCTACTTATAATCTGTACTTTCTTCACATGGAATACTGAGATGCTCCCCCTTAATATCTTAATGATATTCAGATTTGTATTGTAGTTACTTGTGTAAATACCTTCTCACCCTACTTAATTGTAAACACATTGAGAGCAAGAATTGTCTCTCATTTGCCTATATCTCATTTGTGCCTGTTTATAGAAGGTACTTAGCAAATATGAAATGAAATACAAGTATGAATTATACAGAATGTTTGCTCCCGAGAGTCTAAATTGTGCATTTAATGTAAAAATCTATTGTACCACTTGAACATAAACTAAACACAACATAAAATATTAAATTTCTTCTAAATAGACAGATATCCTATGGTTTGATTTATTTGCTCTTTTCATCAGCAGAATAGTTGTTAGAATAATTTTTATCATGTCACTATCTGTCAGAATTGAGGCTATCACCTATAATTGCTATTGAAAAATTCTTAGGGGACAGCTAGGTGGTGCAGTGGATAGAGCACTGGCCCTGGAGTCAGGAAGACCTGAGTTCAAATGTGACCTCAGACACTTACTAGCTGTGTGACCGTGGGCAAGTCAGTTAACCCTGATTGCCTCTCCTAAAAAAAATAAAATAAAAATAAGAAAGTAAAGATTCTTAGGATCCTGTTTCACTAGGTCTTATGTAGCTTAAAAATGAATAAGAGAGTAAAATTATTTTGAATAAAGTTATTGCATATATTACCTTATTTAAGAAGTCTTTTATAAAGGTTTCCCATTTATACAAAATTATATATGTATATATATATGTATACGTGTGTGTGTGTGTGTGAACAACTTTTCTATGACACCTTGGGGATGGAGAAGCATTTAAAAATATTTTTTAATTCTAACTCTGTTTTATGTATAGCATCTAAAATCTTTACCCAAATTCAACACAAAAGCTGAAAATCTCAAGATAAAGCCTAATGTTGGAAATGACTTCTTAGAGTATTATGAATTAAATAATATTTGGAAGTTTTTATATGATCCTTTTTGTCACTTTATTATACTAGAACACATGAGCATTTTGGGAATATTATATAAAACTTTGCACTCGGTTTTTTGTTAATTTCAATCGATGAGGATTTAGGAATCTTAGCATAAAGAGAATTCATTGATTCCCTAATTTATAAGTTAAGATAAAGTTACTGAGACAGAGAAGTACAGATGAGTACTTTTGAGGTGATTAGTAATACTTTTTCATAATATGGTTAAGTAGAAGTTATTGGTAAGTAGCACAGCATAGGCAACCCTAAAACAGCATTTTTCAGCTTAAACATGTGCAAGTTCCCAGGAACCAATACATAATAATGCAGACAGGACCTAGAACATTTAGCACTTCGTCATTCATGTTTATTTCCTAGGTATGGGTAGTGTTATGAGCAAAGCTACAGAGAGAAGACAGTACAGAAATGCACAGGGTGTGAGCAGTCTGGTCTCATGGACAGTACAATAGAGGGGAAATAATATTAAATAAAACTGGAAAGAAGTTAACATGAGAACTTCATGTTCAGAGCATACTCTCTGAGTTGGGAAAATAAAATCCTATTTTGACAGATGATATACCTACAGAAACCCAGACTTCTGAATAGATCTTTTCTTCTGATTTGTCTTTCACCTATAGAAAAATTTCCAGAGGCTGATCCATATGAAATAATAGAATCTTTCAATGTTGTTTCAAAAGAAGTTTTTAGAAATATTGTCTTGAATGAATATAGAAGGTAAATATATCCTTTCCCTGAAAATAAAATATATTTATTTCTAGTATCTCTGTACCTGAACTTTTTTTATTACTTTAAAATTGTGATATGTCTAAAGTGAGTAATTTTTTAACCTAAGTGCACAGGAAAGAATGCTGATATTTATTTCATACTTGTAGAGTAGCAGAGTCAATAGAGCACTAGACCTGGTGTCAGGAACACCAGAGTTCAAATCCAGTCTCAGATACTTAACCAGCTGTGCGTAACCTCTTAACCTCTGCCTCAATTTCCTCTTCTGCAAAATGTGAATGATAATAGCACCTACGTCCCAGGATTGTTGTAAAACTAAAAGGAAATATTATTTGTAAAATGCTTTGCAAACCTTAAAGGACTATATACGTGATAGTTATTATTAAAATTATTATTATATGACTTCTGAAAGAGAGCATGATAGAGAGAGGAGGAGAATGACATGTTGTATGAGTGTGACTTTTTCCTACTTTCATATGCTTTATACTTCATTTTGTTTATTATCATAGATGTGATGGACGAGATTTGACATCACTCAGAGATATTAGTTGTGAAGTAGACCTGTTCAGAACCCTTCATGGATCAGCACTGTTTCAGAGGGGCCAAACACAGGTAATATTTGCAAATTACTGCAGCTGTTTTCTCATTTATGATTACTTTATTCAAGCAGAAATATATCATAGCAGTTACCTCTCTCTTCTTTGTCTGTCCATTGGCACTTCCTCCATAGATAGCATCAATCTAGTTTAGGGAACCCTGAGCTGAGAGTCAGAAAATTTCATCTCTTCTACTTAACAGCCATGTGACTTTGGACAAGTCATTTTGCCTTCTCTAAGTCACCTGTAAAACAAGGGGGTTAAACTAGATAATCTTTGAGAACCCTAATTCCATCTCTAATATTCGGTGGTGGTGGTGATGTTTGTTGTTTTGTTTTGGTTTTTTTTTTTTTTTGATGAGAGGACACCAACTCATTTAACTCCATTGATATAGGGAACTCCCAGACAGGAAGCTTTCTCTCAGTGCAGTTCCTCTGCTGTGCAACTTGTGGTTTTAAAAGATTGCCTGATTATTCAGGTTAATAGCTGGCAAAGTTCAGGAATAATATTTACATATATTCTATATGTCAATAAGACCCTCCATATTAAATCAGCATGCACTTTGCTATTCAACAACTTCAATACAAAGGTAAGAATAAGTGAGAAACATGTCAGAAATCATGGGTCAGGAATAAGGAATGAGAGAGGCTGAACAGTTGTAGGCTACACAGAATATACACACCTTTTTATTATAAATACTTTTTTAAAGAAAAGAATTGGTAGGTGTAGGATATAATGAACATTGAACTACATCACATATAGTGAAATTGATTTTATCTATTTATATGTGTGCATTTTTTTTAATGGACTTGTGATTTAACCAGTATTCTTCATGAGGAAACTCCTTCCACCGATGCCAGTTAGCACCAGTTCTGCAACTTACAGTCTTAGAAACTTTCCTAGGCCGAGACATTAATTGACTTGCCCAGACTCATACTGACAGAAGACAGAGTTAGGACTCTGAATCCAGGGTTTCCTGTAGTGAGGCTTTCTCCATGTACCACACTACCTCAAAATTAGTTATATTTTGACAGAGACAGGAAAGGACTCCTTAAGGTTATGGGAACTGGGACTGAATTAGCTGTCTGTGTAAGTCAATTAAGTCAAGTCAGCAAGTATTTAGTAAGTGCCACGCACTGTGATGAGTTCTGGGGATACAAAGAAAGTCTCTTCAAGGAACTCACATTCTAACAACTATGTGAATATAGGATATATTACTGTAAATGGGAAGTCATCTTAGAGAGAAGGCATTAGTCGGGGGATAAGGGACAGGTAAGGTTTCTTATAGAAGGTGAACTGAGTCTAGAGGCAGCAGTAAGGAGGGATGACATTCTAGGCATAGGAAATAGCCAGTGAAAAGTCACAGAGTTAGAAGGAGTGGTATACAAAGAGTGCCTATTTGCTCACAGCCAGTTACTGGATTGTAGAATGCATGGAGAGGGGGAGTAAAGACTGGAAAGGTAGGAAGGGGCCGGGTTGTGAAGGGCTTTAAAAGCCAAACAGAAATTTTTATAGAGGTAATGGGAGTCATTGGAGTCTATTGAGAATGAGATGTGGGGGGAGTGACATGGTCAGACTTGCACTTTAGGAAGATCACTTTGGTAAATGAGTAGATGATAAACAGGAGTACAAGAGACCTGAAGCAGGGAAACCAAATAGAAGGTTATTGCAGTTATCCAGGCAATAGACTATGAAGTCCTACACCAGGATGGCAGCAACAGATCAGATGTATATGATGAGTTGGAGTGAGGAATCAAGGATGACACCGGGGTTATAATATAGCCTGGGTGACTGAGAGGATGGTGGTACCCTTGACAGTAGTAGAAAACAGGGGAAGGCTCAAAGGGAAAGAGAATGAGTTAAGTTTTGGATGTGTTGCATTTCAGATGTCTGTGGGACATCCAGTTCAAGATATTCAGTAGGCAGTTGGTGATGCTCAGGAGAGACTAGGACTAGATATATAGATCTGAGAATCATCTGTGTCACATAATTGAGCCCATGTGAGCTGACAATATTACCAAATGAGGTAATATAGAGAGAGAAGAGAAGGAGTCCTATAACAGAGTTTGGAGGACATGCAATTAGTGAGTATGACCCAAAGGAAGATGTAGCAAAAGAAACTGAAAAGGATTTACCAGAGAGCTCAAAAATATTTTTCAGTTATTTGTCATATGTCATACTGGAAAAGTTAAAATTAAAGTAATATCCCATCATCCCTTTTGAATGCTAAAACATAAGCAGTACACATGGGTGTGTCTTCATATTCCTATTATTGTTATCATTTGGATGCATTTACTAAATTCCTGTTTATGTAAATGAGGGGTCTGGTTAATTATTCTGATTATTAGATATTTTAAATTTTATACATTACCATTTTTTTTTCTTTTTTTTTTACATTACCATTTTTCAAAGAACTAATGTACAATTACCTCCATTAAAGTCCTAATCCTGTGCATCATTTTGGCATAGACGTGGACTTAGGTTCTCAAAAGCTGACTACTCGATGAAACTTTCTGATAGGCCCAACCAATCTGGAAAGAATTTAAATATGGAAGGACGGTCCAGACTAGCTAAATGAAGACAGGTTCATCAATATAGCTTCACTAGTAAGTAACAGGCAGCATGGCACAATGGATAGAAGGCTAGTCTTGGGAGTCAGAAAGACCTGGGCAAGGTCTCTCAATGCTCTAGACCACTTTCCTAAGAGAGACTCTTACCTTCAATGGTACGGGAAGGCTTCCTTCTCCAAGAGTTCTGTATGTATCAGTGCAGTCACAGGTCCAGTCCCTCATCCTACCCTTTTCATCACCACAAAGTAAGCCGTCAAGTGTTAACCAGACAGAACCAGCCTCTAACTTGTGGGTGTCCAGAGCCACACAGAGAAGGCTAGAGACAGGAGAGTCAGGAATCAAACAGAAGCTTAATTTCAAAGTGAGGGAAACATCTTGAAAGCAAGGATACATGTACTGAGGCCTCACCACTAGCGGGGAGAATCCAAGGCAGTGTGGGGACATCTCAATACTTACGCCAATAGCTATGCAGTGAGCTGCAGCCCTAACAATGAGGGATGGTAGCAACAGTGAGGCAAGTCTGATTCATAGTAGGACTTCATGACCAGAACATGGTCACAGCAGGTGCTTGTCCAAGCTCAGAGAACACCTGGTGCTGGTCAAAGCAATGCAGTAATTATATGATTTTGCTAGAGGGCAAAGTCATCCAGAGGGTGAATGCAAAGGATTGTTGTTGGGCCCAGCTCAGGGCACAGCTTGCTTCTGAGCCCTAGCTCTGGATAACAGGGTGTCTCCTAATATCTTGACACAAGTAATAAATGGTTTTGGACTCATCAACCAGAGAATTATCTATTAAGGCATTGAAGGAATGGTGATCTGGGTCACAGAATTTATAGCCAGAAGAGATCTAAGAGATCGTTAAGTCTCTTTCCATCATTTAATAGATGAGGAAACAGACCTAGAGAGGTTAAGTGATTTTGCAGTCAGTTGTAGGATTGCATTCATTTTTATCTGCTCCCTTTCTTCTCCCCCTATAACTGGAATAGTACCTTAACAAAGAAAGAGCTCAGTTAATATTTGTTGAATGTGTTAGTGATTTCATTATTAAGTGCACATATGATAGTGGTAGACTTTGTATAGAATTACTTAGACACAGGATATGTCCTTTGGTTGCTTACTATGCTCCTCAGGTGTTTTTTATTCTGCATACTTAGTATATCAATAGCAGAATCATGTTGTTTTTTTAGGTGCTTTGTACAGTTACATTTGATTCTTTAGAATCCAGTGTGAAGTCTGATCCTATTACAACGGCTATTAGGTAAGTTGGAAGATGGGGGAGGCATTTCTTTGTGTTGTTCCTGTATAACAATGAAGTTATCTCAGAAGAGAGGTACATCATAATTCAGTGGGGCCTTTGATATAAAAGACATAATTTTAAAATCAGTTTCTGTATTTAATGGCTCTGTTTGATAATAATCATAATTGCCTATCTTTCCTTCTCTGCCCATATCTTGTTTTTCCTAAACCTGTTCCTCATCCTCACTTTGAAGTCTAGTTCCTCCCCCCTTCAGTATTTTATCAGACCGTTATTCCTGCTCTGGCTCCCCTTTCCTTCATTTCTAGTCTTGATCATTTAGTGAACACTCTACACTACCCTCTACTGTCAGATCACTTGATCACTTTTCCCATTACCTCTTTGGCCTTGCCACATTCCCAACCCTATATTGTTCCCATCATCCATCTTTTCCACTCCTTCTTGGGTGCTGTTGAATGGAACTGCAGAAAGTCATAATAACCCTTCTAACTAAATCAGTACATATTTATGTTATCTAATTTCATCTGGATCTTCGGTACAGAAACGCACTCCTGGTACTCCTTCCTGATTGATTTTCTGTGCCATTGTTCATAATAGTTGTTTCAAAGTTCTCATCTCTCCTCAAGCTTCACACCCTTCTCTTCACCCTTTCTGCGGAGGTACTTGTCTCACACTTTACTGAGACAATTGAGTCTGTTGAAGAATCCCTTCTTCGATCCTCCTCATGTCACAACCCCTATGTATTATCCTCCACTATTCTTCTTTAGTGTGAGAAGAGGTGACCCTCTTCCTCAACAAGATTAAATCCTCCTAATATGTCCTTTGATCCCATCTTCTCAAGCAGATTGCCCTCATTATTATCCCCTCTCTCTAATCTTCAATATCTCCCTAGCGACTGGTTCCCTTCCCTGAGGAGACTTTGCCCAGGTCTCCCCAGTTCTTAATAGATTTTCACTAGATCCCACTGTCTCTGCCAGTTGTCATTATATAACACTTCTACTTTTCCCAGCCCAACTCCTTGAAAATCTTCAATCTTTGTCTCCATTTCCTGTCCTCTAACTCTCTTAGAAACCTTCTGTAATTTGGCTTCCAACCTCATCATTCAGCTGAAACTTCTCACAGAATTGCCAGTTATCTGCTAATTACCACACCTAATGGAGTTTTCTCAATTCTCATCCTTTAATCTCTCAGTTGTGTGAGACAATGCTAACTATCCTCTCTTTCTGGCTGCTCTCTCTGTGGATGTTGTTGTTTGGACAGAGCTCCACGGGTCTTTCTGGCTACTTCTCAGTCCCTCTTGCTCATTCATTATCCATGTCATGCCTAAATAGTAAATCAGGCACAGGATTTATTAAGTGCCTACTACATGCCAGTCACTGTGCTAAGAGAAAGGTAAAATACAGTCCATGCCCTTGATGAGCTTACAGTCTAATGGGAAAGAAAACATGCAAACAACTATGTAGAAACAAAACATATACGGTATCAATTGGAGGTAATCTATGGAGGGAAGACACTAGCATGAACGGGAATTGGGAAAGGCTTCTTATAGAAGGTGGGGTTTTAGCTGGGACTTAAAGGAAGCCAGGAGACAAAGATGACTAAGGAAAGAATTCCAGGCATGGGAGACAGCCAGTGAAAATTCCTGGAATTAGGAGATAGAATAGGAGAGGAATAATAAGGAAGCCAATGCCAAGGAGAGGTATGGGGCTAAGAGGATGAGAAATGAGGGGGTAAAGTATAAGAAGACTGAAAAGGTAGAAGGGGGCCAGGTTATGAAGGGCTTTAAAAGACAAACAGGATTTTATATTTGATCCTGGAGATGATGGGGTACCACTGAAGTTTACTGAATAGGGGGAGTGACATGGTCAGACTTGTGTTTTAGGAAGATCACTTTGACAACTGAGTAAAAGATAGATTGGGGTGGTAAAATACTTGAGGCAGGCAGACCAAGCAGCAGGCTGCTGCAATAGCGTGAGATAATGAGGGCCTACACCAGGGTGGTAGCATTGTCAAAGGAGAAAGGGGGCCTGTAGGAGAAATGTTAGGAAATTTGAATCAACAGAATTTGGCCACTGTGAGTGGTCAGAGATAGGAAGGAAGGAATCAAGGATGACACTGAGGTTTCAAGCCTGAGTGATTAGGAGGATGGTGGTACCCTTGACAGTAACAGAAAAGTTAGGAAGAGGGGAAGGTTTTGGGGGAAAGAAAATTAATTCAGTTTGGGATTTGTTGAGTTTAAGATATTTATGGAATATCCAGCTCAAGATGTCAATAGAAGTTGGAGATATGAGAGTGAAGATCAGGAGATAGGTTGGGACTGGAAAAATAGCTCTGAGAATCTGCATAAAGATGACAATTGAATACATGAAGAGAAAAGAATGCAGGACGGAGTCTTGGGGGATACCCCCACTAAAGACGCAAATATCCAGTAAAGGAGACTGAGGGATGGTCAGGCAGATAAGAGGAGAAGCAGGAGAGATCAGTGTCATAAAAACCTAGAGCAAATAGAGGGTCACAAGATAGAGGGTAATCAACCATGTTAGAAGCTGTAAAGAGGTCAGCAAGGATGAGGGCCATTAGATTTAGCATTTAAGAGATCATTGATAATTTTTTTATGTTTTGTTTTTTTGGGGTTTTTTTGCTTAGGCAGTTGGGGTTAAGTGACTTGCCAAGGGTCACACAGCTGGTTAAATGTCAAGTGTTTGGTCTGAGGCCGGATTTGAATTCAGGTCCTCCTGACTTCAGGGCCAGTGCTCTATCCACTGCGCCACCTGGCTGCCCCAATCATTGATAATTTTGGAGAGAACTTTTCAGTTGAATGATGAGATCGGAAGCCAGATTGCAAAGAGTTCAGACAAAACTCAGAAGGAAGTCATGGCACCAGTTGTAGGTGCCTTTATCAAGGAGTTTAGCCACAAAAAGGAAAAGAGATAAAGGAAAATAGCAAGTAAGGATAGACCTATCATGTGAGGGGTTTTTGAGGATGGGGTAGAGATGAGTGTGTTTTTGGGCAATAGGTGACAATAAGAGATTGAAGATTAGTGAAGGAGTAGGGATAGTGGGGGTTGCAGTCTGTTGCAGAAGATGAAAATGGAATTGGATCACTTTTGTGTAGGGAGGTTTCCCTTGGCAAGGACTCTTTTATGTGAGACAGGTAAATTAGACAGGAGGAGATAATGGAAGGCAGTATCTAAGTGGTGTCAGGTTGAGGCAGCTAGAAGGCGCATTGGATAGAGTGCTGAACCTAGAGATAGGAAGATCTGAGTTCAAATTTGCCCTCAGACACTTACTAGCTGTGTGACACTAGGCAAGTCACTTAGCTTCTCTTTGCCCCTGTTTCCTCATCGATAAAATGGGAATAATAATAGCACCTACTTCATAGGGTTGTTGTGAGAATCTAGTGATAATAATATTTGTAATGTGCTTAGTACAGTGCCTGGCATGTAGTAGACACTGTATAAATGCTTGTTCTCTTCCCTCCCCACCCCCTGAGGAAGAAGGGAAGCACTGGGAGGTTTGAAGAAGAAAGAAAAAGTATGAAAAATCCACTGTGGTGAGTGGTGGTGTGGTGAATCATTTAGGGAGGAGTTACAAGGATTGCTGGGCCCAGTTTTGAATATAAAAAATAAATTTGTAGTTTACCTAGTCAGCACAATACTGTGCTGCTTTTTTTTTTTTTTTTAAGGCAGTTGGGGTTAAGTGACTTGCCCAGGGTCACACAGCTAGTAAGTGTCAAGTGTTTGGTCTGAGGCCAGATTTGAATTCAGGTCCTCCTGACTTCAGGGCGGGTGCTCTATCCACTGCGCCACCTAGCTGCCCCAATACTGTGCTTTTCTTCAACTCCATTCAGTAGCACTCAGTTAGGAGCAAAGGCCACAGACAGTTGGAATAATCCAAGCTTGGGGGTTGGCAGAGTATGTCAGAGTTCATGGCTATGGATTTAGCTTGTGGTTGATGGCAAGATCAAAAGTATAACCATATATGTATTTAGCTGAAGTAGATGAAGGAGTAGGGTTTGAGGAGTACATTGAGGAATTGGAAAGATGGGGTGGTTGAGGGAGTGTCATATGTATGTTGAAGTCACCTAATAGGAGGGCAGGAGTTGGGGAAGAAAGGAAGACTATGAGCCAGGCACTGAACCCTTTGAAGAAGGGTCAGTAAATAACTACTAGAAGCTGCATAGGGTGATAAATATTGAAAGAACCTCAAGGGAGGAGAGATTACTGAGTGATGGTGGTAGTAGCACTGGGAAGCATGGGGTTAAATAGGGACTAGTGAGTCTTAGGATATGAGGGTAAGTGTCACCAGTGCTGGAAAGGGGTGACCAGGGAAGCTTTATCATTCGGAGGGAGCCAGGTCTCAATGAGAGTCAGAATATATAGGGAGTGAGAAGGAAAAAGACTTAAGATGAAAGTAAGTTTCTTAACTGTGGAACAAGTTTTCCAGAGAATACAATGGAAGGGGATGGGCGGATCTAGAGTGGGACTTTGGTGGGTAGGATTGAGGAGGATAGGGATCACATGCTGAAACAAGTATATTCACATTTCGTGACTTTTTTTTAAGACTATGTTTTTTAATTTTTAGTGGAGTAAAAGAGAAAAATTTCATGCTTCATTATGAGGTAAGGTAATTCTTTAATGCTAAAGTCTTATTGCATGTATCAGAAATATAAACAGGAAGATAATAGTGTTGTAATCTAAAACTGCATATTGTACTTCATAAACAAAATTGGAGATCTGAATAGCAGATAGAGTGTTCCTCAAAACATTGCTTTAGGAAGGAAGATCAATTCCTACCTTAAAGAATTGGGACATCTGATTATTTAAAATATCTGGATTGACAAAACAGTTTCACCTTTCTAATAAGCTCATCTGACGAGATACTTAAATATTAGTTTATTATTCAGCAAAATAGCAAAAAGACTTAGGTACTCAGTACTGGAGAGCTCTATGAATTTTTTTCTTGGTGCGTCATTCAATGCTTGCTTTATTAAAGTGAAAAGTATACAAGCATTAAATTATCTCATATAGGAATTTCTTAGTTTTGTGTGTTTGTTTTCTTTTTTTTTAAAGTTTCCTCCTTATGCAACTAATGAAACTGGCAAAGTCACTGGTGTGAATAGAAGAGAACTTGGGCATGGTAAGAAAACTATATGTGTTAGTGTTATTCCAAAAATACCTTAAGTATGTGCTATTCTTAATGGGTTTTTTTATTATTTTTATTATATATAATATAATAATAATATGATAACATTTTATTATATTCTGTATTTTAGGTGCACTTGCTGAGAAATCTTTGTATCCAGTTATTCCCAAAGATTTTCCTTTTACAATAAGAGTTACATCTGAAGTTCTGGAGTCAAATGGTATTCTGATCTTTCTTTTATTTCTTAGTGCAAAAGACAGAGTTTATCTCTTAGAGTCTGCCTTTTCAATCAGCATCCCTGTGACACCAGAATTGTAGCGTAAGAGAGTCCACCTCCAGGGGAGTGAACCTAAGAAGGGTAGGGCTACTATTTAACTAAGGCTAGGGGGCGGTGTCATGTCTGAATAGAGGTGGTGAGAATAAATGAAGATAAGCTAAATCAGAAGGATCAGGCAAAGGCCAGTCCCAAAAATAAGATAACTCTAGGAAATTTTGCTAAGACAAGATGAGTTGGGCATGTCTTAAGATTCTTCTCCTTAGGGGGTGTATATTTCAACAAATTGGAATCAGAAGTGGTGGTCCCAAAATAAGAAAGACATACAATTAATGTCTGATCCTGCACCGTCTGTTTGCTTTCTTCCTTCTTTAAATTACGCACTGTGGTGGGTGGGGCAGAGCCAGCAGGGATGTTTACTGCTGTTGAGATAACAGAGCCTCAAAAATGTTACTAGTTTCTAGGTGCCTGGGGCATAGGTGGAGGCTTCAGACCTCCCTGATGATTCTGGCAATCATTTTAATTCTTGTTATACTTCAAAGCTAGAAAAGGCAGCCTTGTTGGGGAGGGTTAGGGTTGTATTTGGTTTGTTTCAAAATTTTAAAAAACCTTTGATGATGAATATTATGACATTTTTTAATTAAAATGAATATTCTTAAATTTTTAGCTTAAATTTTTCTTTCTGCAGGTTCTTCTTCTATGGCTTCTGCATGTGGTGGAAGTTTAGCACTAATGGATGCAGGTAAAAAATTGTAATTATAATATAGTGTCTGGCATTCTTTAGTTAATGAGCTTAAAAAAATAATATAAGGTTTCTTTTAAACTGGTCTATAATGTCCTCAACTTGAATAATTTTGGAGTAAACCATCCAATCCTATTTGAATATACATCTGTTATTTTTAATGCAGTTGAATAGTTTACTCTAAATTCAGTGTGTGTGTGTGTGTGTGTGTGTGTGTGTACATTTTGTCTTTTCTAATTGAATGTGAGCTCTTTGAGGATAAGGACTGGTTTGGGTTTTTTTTGTTGTTTTGGGTTTTTTTGGTATCTGCATCAATATTTCCTAGCGCAGTGCATAGTAGGGGCTTAATAAATACTTATTGATAACTTTATCATTTTTTTTTCACTGTACTTGTAATTTCATCAATGTAGATAGTTTCTGGTGAAGAACTTCCTCTGCAAATACAGATAAGCTCTTCCTCTGCAACATTATTTTAGAATGTCTCAGAGATGGAATTTAACCCAGGTCTTCCTGACTCAGGAGCCTGCCTTCTATCTGCTATGCCTTACTGTATATATGTGTATCTAAGTAAATGTGTATATTCAGAGATGTGATATATAGTCTATATTTCTCTTTTATTTATATGTGTAGGTATGTATGTATATGTAATATATATTTCTATTATATATTAATATGCATTATGTTATTAACATATATTGAATGTATATATTTCCCATATGTGTTTGTATATGTGTGTATATACTGAATTTAGAATAAACTGCAACTGAAAATGCCTGAACAGCCAAAAAAAAACCCAATCACATTACAAATAATATACATATGTGATAAAGAATAGACAACATTCTAATAGTATATATTTTCCTAGATAGTGTATAATACATAGGCATGTTTCACCATTTGTTTTCCTTAATTTTCCTGAACAGTTTAAAACAAATGTTCTTAACCTTTATGTGTCATGAACCCCTTTGACCATTTGTTGAAGCCTATGAACCCCCCTCAGAATACTGTTTTTAAACTCATAAAATAAATACATGGGATTGTGAAGAAAACTTAATTCTATTAAAATGCAGTTATCATAATAGGGGAGAAAGGTTCATGTTCCCCAGGTAAAGAACTCCTGGTTTAAAAGAAACTCTTTAATATTTTGCATTGATAGAAACACAGGGGGAGAAAGCAAATGTGGTATAATGGATAGAGAGATGGCCTTGGAATCAGAAAGACTTGTGATCCAGTTCTGCCTCTGACACATGTGCAGCTAGTGACTACTGGGCTATGCACTTAACCTCTGGAAGTGCCCCATGCAAGCCCCTAAGACTGTAAGTTGTAGAGCTAGTGCTGATCTGCATTGGTAGAGGAGGTTTTCTTAATGAAATCACAGGTCCACCCCTTTCCATTTTAATCCCACATGTGCACTAACTATCCCTTTGAAACCATGTTTCACCTAATATTATGTTTTCATGGAATCACTGTGTGTTTATAGATACACATACATATTTATGAATTCTCTTTTTAATTATAGGAGTTCCAATTTCATCTGCTGTTGCAGGTGTGGCAGTAGGACTGATTGCCAAAAACAATTCTGAGAAAGAAGGTGAAATTGAAGATTATCGTTTGTTGACAGATATCCTGGCAAGTATATGAAGTATACGAATTTTTAAAATATTTAGTGTTAGTGGTGAAGGTTAAATGTCCTTTACAATATCTGAAATGTATTTAGGAAATTATAGAAGCACTTATTTAGAAGACTTGCTTAGATTTTTTAAATTATACTAAAATTTTGTAGCATAAATAGTACAGCTTCTTATAATGTACTCATAAACAAGTAATAAGTTACCAGTAACAAATCTGAGAGGAGACAGTGATTTTTAGAGTGAAGATATTTTTATTATGGGAAAATATATGGAGTTTAAAGGTTCACAGCAATACCTAGGCATTGGACACAACGGCTAATAAAGGAAAGGTAAAGGAGGCATATTCTCAGAGGACACATGTAAAACTGCTCTTTTAAACTTCTCTGACTATACTATGAATTTTGTTTCAAAATATAACTTTTAAAATTTTTTAAGGGAATTGAAGATTATAATGGTGACATGGATTTCAAAATGGCTGGAACAAATAAGGGAATAACTGCATTACAGGTATTTTTTATTATTAATTTTGGAAACATTTTAGCAAAGTGATAGATGTCATTTGATTCAATATGTATGTAAATTTTCTGGCTTCTTTATGTCAGGCTGATATCAAATTACCAGGAATACCAATAAAAATTGTAATGGAGGCAATTCAACAAGCTACAGGTAAAGTGGTATCCATAACTCTTTTTATATAATCTGTTCTTCAGTTTTGAGTTAACTAATAGAAAATATATTGTGGTTTTAATAAGCAGACTCAGAGGAATTCTTGCTTGTATTTACTTAATGCTTTCATTTTAAATAATTTTTGAGTTAGAGACAGTTCTCACCTTATGTAAATTCACGTTATATAAATTCAACTTTACCTAAAGAATTCTGAAAGATATTCGCATTAAAAAAAAACCTTATGTTAACTTTACTGTACATTACTGTGCTCTCTTTCTGCTCCACAGCCCTCCCATCCCCCAAAAAACTCTCCAAATTAAAGCATCAGAGCAGACCCACAGAGAGATTGCTACCATTGCCCCTGGATCTGGGGCTTGGCATGGCAGATACTAATCAAAGCATAGATATCCTGCATAAGAATGGCAAGCAATACAACATAATCAAACCCCACTGCAAAACTTTTCAGCCAGTTGCCTGAGACCCACAGATTGGATGTTTGTTCAGTGCTGCAGTAGATAATACACTGGACCTGGAGTCACGAAGACTTGAGTTCAAACCTGGCCTCAAATATTTACGAGCTGTGTGTCCCTGGATAAGTCTATTTAGCCTTATCTGTAAAGTAGTGATAATAACAGCACCCACCTTCTAGGGATATTGAGAGAATCAAATGAGATAGTATTTGAAAAGTACTTTGCAGGCTTTAAATTGTAATGTAAATGTTAGCTATTATTATGGTTGGAAGTAAGCTAAGGGAATACTTGATTTCTTGTGATGATAACTCCCTGAAGTATCAGTCTAATAATGGTTCATCAGTTCACAAACAATCATGAAGCAACTACTGTTGGAAGGTACTGTTCTAGGTTTGGGGGATACAAAAACAAAAACAGTCCCTGCAACCTATACTCAAAGAGCTTCTGTTCTGGGTAGAGAGACTATAGCAGAGACACTAGTAACTGAATACAAAATAATTCAAAGTGATTTCAAAAAGGAGATAGTGCCAAGGTTTGCAGAACATCTTGTCTCATTTGACCCTCAAACCCTGAGACAGTTGTGAAGCAGGAAGAGAACTGGATTGGGAGCAAAGGGAATCTTTATTTCCATCTCTGCTTCTTAATTGCCCGTCAGCCTTAGACAAACTACATCTATAAAATAGGCTGGGTGTGATATGCCTACAGAGATAGATAGATAGATAGATATTATTTATATAGCATATAGACCTTCCAAGGAGGGAAGGTCTGAAGGAGATAGGATTTAAACAGAAAAAAAAATACAAATGAAAAAAGCTTTACAGACACATGGAGTTTGGGGGGAAAGTGAACTGGACCACTTTGTCCAAAGCAAAAGTCACATATAGGAGTGCTAGAAAATGTTTAAAAATAAAATTAGGAGATAGTGGAGCCAAGATGAAGTTCAGCAAGCTTCCCCCTGCACCCAGCTCCCCCAAACTGATTTAGAAAATGCACCAGATTGAATCCCTATTGGGAAATTGCAAAGCATTGTGAGTCATTTTTCCAGCCTGAGGTAATCTAGGCAGACAGTGAAATCTATGGACACTGAGGAGGGGTTCTGGCCAGAAAAAACATAAAGAATTCCAGTTCAGGAAAAATCTGTGTCCCAGGACAAGAAAAGATCCCAGATCCAACAGAGAGGGTTCTAAACTTGTGTAGGGTGCTGGAAACAACTGGCAGCTTTATCACTCACTAGCCAGTTTCAGGTCATAGATCCAGGGGACCTGCACCTAAGGGGGCACTCCAGGTAAGGTTCAGTCACAGACCCTAGGCTGTGTACCAAGCAAGGAGCAAATTCAGAGGCAAGCAGCAGCCCTGTGGTTCTGACCCCAAGAGTGGAGCAGGGTCTCCTTCTCAGCTTCTATATCAGTCTGAAGCCCATAGAAGAATAACCAGAGCAGGAATCCCGTACTAAAAGGAAGCCTCTTCTTTCACTCAGAACCAGCAGAACTTTCCAGCTGGCTGACAGTGGTAGTCCAGCAGAAGTTTACTGAAACTCCAAATGGGGCAAGCCCACAGGCCTGTTGCTCATACCCTAAGCCAGGTCAGGACCTTTCAGAGCTCAGACTAGAAGGCCAGCAATCACACCTTGCCCTGGATCAGACCATTTTAGAATCACTGAAAGGTTGCAGATCTCTAGCCTGAACTATCCTTGAGATCCAGAAATAATACAGTACTCAGTATCTCAAGAAAAGAAGCAACAGGACTAGCCCAGACCTTTCCTCCAGAAGTACCCAGAGCCTGACCGTAACAAATCAGAGTGAGAAAGTAGGCTGGAAGAAGGAGCAAGCAAATATGAATCGCACCATAAAAAGCAACAAACCCAGAAGAGTATATGACTCTAAAACATCCACAAGCAAAGCTTCAGTAGAAAATTTAGCTTGAGCACAAGTTTTAAGTAGAATACTTGGAAGAGATGAAACAGGAGTTCAGAAAGTATATTTTTGTAAATGAAATGAGAGTGCTAGAAGAAAATGTTTAAAAAGAAACCAGAGCTATAAAAAAAATAAATTGCAAAGGTAATTAACAGCTTGGCAGAAGAGGTACAACAGCTTGCCTAAGCAACAAGTTCCCTGAAAATTATAATGGACCAAATAGAAGCTAACGGCTCAGGAAACCAAAAATAAAACTCGGAAGACTTAAAAAAAAAAAATAAGAGAATATAAAGTATCTCATAGTAAAAACTGACTTGGAAAATATATTGAGAGATCATTTTAGATTATTGGACCACTTGAAAGCCATGACCAAAACAAGCCTAGCCATCATATTTCAAGAAACTATCAAAGAAAACTGCCCAGAGTTCTTAAAACCAGAGGGCAAAATGGTCACCTCCTGGGAAAAAAAAAATAATAACTCCCAACATCATTATAGTCAAAATCCAGAGATTCCCAGGTCAAAGAAAAATTAATACATGCAGCTAGAAAGAAAGAATTCGAATAATGAGGAGCCATAGTCAGGATCACACATGTTTTAGCAGCTGCAACAATGAAGGAGTGCAGAGCTTGGAACACAGTATTCCAGAAGGCAACAGCTATAGGCTTATGACCAAGAATAAAATTACTTATTGATTATAATCCTACAAGAAAAAAATAGACCTTTAGTGAAATAGAGGACTGCTAAGCTTTCCTGATGAAAAGACTAGAGCTGCATAAATACCCTAAAGTTCAAACATAAGAGTTAAGAGAAATATACAAATGTAAACACAAATGAACAATGATAAAGGAATAAACAAGTACAAGATGCTTACATTCTAATATGGGGAGATGATATATGTGTCCCCTTTGAATCCTGTCATCATCAGGGATTATAGAGAAAATCTGATTAGACAGAAAGCCTAGGAGTGTTTTTGTTATATCTTAAAGATTTTAAAAGAAGAATGTAAAGGGAAGGGAAGAAGGGAAAGGAAGGTTAGAGGAAATTATCTCATCAACTGAGAGCTCAAGTAGAAGTCTAGACAAACAAGAAGGAAGGAGTAGGAATGGCTTAACACTTGAACCTCACTCTCTTCTGAATTGGTCAAAGAAGAGAAGCAAGCAGTGTACAGAAATAAATATGTGTTACTCAACAAGAAAACAGAAGGGAAAGGGGAGAAAAAAGAGGAAAGTACATTAAGGGAGAGCTTACTCCTAAGCAAAACAAACTCTAAGAATATAAAAATATATTTATAGCAGAATGAACTTTTTTTTTTTTAAATTTGGCCATTATGAAATTTCAGTTTGCTTGACCATAACAGGCTTTTTGTTTTTTTCTTTCTTAATATGGAAGAGGGGGAAATGGGGGGAGCAGAGAATGTGATATTTTTGCCGATTGAAAAAAAAATTAATTTTAAAAAATGTTTTTAAGTTAAGAAATAGGGGATAGGGATGAGAACTAAACTTATAATTTCATTAGTCATTGGGAGCCTCCATGTGAGCAAACACCTACCTACCAATGTGCATAAGCACTTTTTTTTTGTTTTGTTTTGTATGAGGCAATTGGGGTTAAGTTACACAGCTAGTAAGTGTTATGTGTCTGAGGCCACATTTGAACTCAGGTCCTCCTGACTTCAGGGCCGGTGCTCTATCCACTGCGCCACCTAGCTGCCCCAAGCACCTTTTCTGCAACTTAGAGAGTTGCTTAGTAGAACACTGAGAGGTTAAGTGACTTGGTTGTCACCCAGTTTGTGTCAGAAACAGAACTTGAACCAAGGTCATATTGGCTTCAAGACAGGTTTAATGCCCACTCTATCATGTTACCAAAGAAATACGTAGAGGCCAAATTGTGGGAAACCTGAGTAATTTGGCCTTTATCCTATACATAATAATGTATCAGTGGGAAATTGCACCCATTTTTGCAATAATATAATTTTATTTTTCCTCTTCAGCGGCAAAGAGAGAAATATTACAGATTATGAACAAGACAATTTCAAAACCTCGAGAAAGTAGAAAGGAAAATGGACCAGTTGTAGGTAATATACAAAAATTATATTAATTTCATCTTTTACTGTTAATATTAGCATGTTAAACATTCTGAATAATTTTTACTTTGAAAATATTTTTTCCATTATACCAAACTTCACTGAATTAAAAGATTGAAAAAAAATTTTAATGAAAACATTTTACACTTTATTTTAGGTAATACAAAATTTGGTGGTATCCTTGAATTTTAAGAAAATTTTTTACATGAATGTACAAAGGTTCAGTGAATTCTTTGGCATACTCTCTGTATTGGAACCATTTCCACCAAAGTAGATTAGAACCTTTCCAGTTCTATGACTTAAAATATAAGCCCTAAGAGGTAATTTATTTAGGAAAACATCACTGACCTGTTTCTTAAACAATGAATAAAACATTTTTCTGTTTTTATATTTAAATTTTTTGTACCTATCTTTGCAGTAAAATGAAGTGACTTAGTTCTCCTTTAATTTTTTATGTCTTTGGAATATTTGTATTTTGTATTTGCTGTGCATTTTAGAAACAGTTCAGGTGCCTTTATCAAAAAGAACCAAGTTTGTTGGACCAGGTGGATATAACTTAAAAAAACTTCAGGCTGAAACAGGTGAGATACTTGTTTTCTATTTTAAATGTTATGGAGTATAATTTCATTCTTTGAATCTCTGTTCTGTTTTGAAAATGAAGGAATAGAAAAATGGCATGTGAAATAGTTTTCTTGGCTATATGTTTTTCATTATAATAGTGAAGTATCCCAAAGTAATAAATGCTGGATTAGCCATAACAGATTTCAGGGCTGTTTCCAAAGATGTTGAATTTCTATCGTTCAATTTAGTGGACAGTCCTTTGGATATTTTAAGTTTGGGGAAGAGAATGCTGGGGCAGGGGGAGGGAAGGAATATTAACAACTGACATAATTATCCTACCACCATGGAATTCTTTTGCTGGTAAATATTACTATTATTTGTGCCATTAAATTTGCTTTTTTTCCCACATTTAAAGCTTATTTTAAGTTATCCTATTTAACAAGAGTATATTTGAGAAGAGTATATACATCTAAATAATGCATTTAAAACTTTAATCTACAAAATTATTTATATTTATATTACAATTTGACACCTGCCTGAGACTCCTTTAACTTGTATATGAGTATGGAAAGAATTTGAGAAGAGCTACTAAAATGAGGGTTTTTTAAGTACAAATCTGATCATGTCCCCTCTCGAGACTGTTCACCATTTTGTGAGTAAGAGGGAGGGAGAAACAAGAGGGAAAGGTAGAAGTTCTTCAATCATTCAGTAGTAGAGTGAAATTAAAGGTTTAAAAAGAATAAACATTTAATAAGTGCTTATTGATTGTTACTGATTGATAACTATAGCTTGCCACCCACCTGCTTTCTTTTCTCTCATCTAATACACTTTATGGTACTGCTCCAACTATACCTAACTCCTTTTGGATTCCTGCTACTGTCCTCTGTTTAGCAGACTGGTATTTACTGGCATAAACAGTTAAATTATGCTTTTTTAAAAAATTTCAATGTTATTTTGTTCAATTTTTCATCTTTTTATGAAAGGGGTAACTGTTAGTCAGGTGGATGAAGAGACATTTTCAGTATTTGCACCAACACCTAGTGCTATGAATGAAGCAAGAGAATTCATTACAGAAATCTGCAAAGATGATGTGAGACTCCATCTTTTTTATTTATTTTATATACTTTATATTTGTTTACTTTGTGAATCTGATCTTAGTTTTATTTTATTTTCGCAGCAAGAACATCAGTTAGAATTTGGAGCAGTTTATACTGCCACAATAACTGAAATTAGGTAAGTCACTCGTAATATTATACAGAATGGTGGTTTTTAAATTACTTTAACTATAGTCCATGTTATTCTATATATATATATAGGACATATATGTGCATATGGACGCAGGTGTCAGTATCTGTGTGTGCATGAGTAGCATGAGACCATAGATAGAGTGCAGGGCTTAGAATCAAGAAGACCTGTTCAAATCCTTCCTCAGTTACTTACTATCTACATGACTGTACAAGTCACTTAACTTGTTCATACATCAGGCAACTCCCAGGACTTACCTATTAAGTAACAATTTGAGATCTATTTCTGGGGAGAAAAGTCCACATGCTGACATCAGAGGTCTTTTATATATTTTTTAGCATACATTGTTTATTTGCTCTTCTCTGCTTCCATGTATTACTCAGCCAACTGAAATTAATAGAGAAAGCTTTAGGAACCTCTGGTTCTTGGTTGTAAAGGCAACTGTCATGTGGTAGAAAGAATTAGAATGTTCTTAGAAAGATCAGAATGTACTAGAAAGTAGAATGGAACGGGGAATCCAGAAACCTTGAGTTATAGGCTCGGCTCTGTCTCAGACCAGTGTTATGACCTCCGGATGAGGCTGCTTACTCTGTGTCTAAGTCACTTGACTCATTTGTAAAATAGGGAGTTGGATGACTTGTTTTCTAAGTTCCTCTCATATGTAAAACTCATGATTTAAAAAATAAAAAAGAATTAACAACAAATAGCATTCCTTCACACTTCAGATTATATATATTTCCTTAAATGTTAATCTTCCCAAAAGAGTCAGGATACCCTCTTAGCATGAATTTCTATAGTTCTTTAAACATTTCCATGAAGTCTTAGGCAGAAAGGATACAAGGAATAGCAAAGTTCCCTGCAAGGTATTAATATATCCAGTTCTATTTTGATCTTTGACTTCAACTTCTTGTTTTCTAAAATGTTTAATTATAATTTGTGGACTTGCTTTCAATGCAGTACAAGTATTTATGACTGTGTGCCAGGCACAGTGCCAAGCACTAAGGATACAAAGAAAGGCAAAATAAATTAATTAATTAAAAGTCCCTGCTCTCAAGGAGTCCACAGTCTAATACAAACAACTATATACAAACAAGCTATATACAGGATATCACAGAAGAAGGCACTAACATTAAGGATGACAGGGAACGCCTTTTTGTATATGATGAGATTTTAGCTAGGACTTGAGGGAAGGCAGAAGTCAGAAACAAGAGGAAAAGAATGCCAGATAGAGGGTAAAGTCAACTAAAATATCCTGAGTCTGAAGATAGTGTTACGTGCAACAAGGAGGCCATTGTTGCTGGATCACAGAGTTCTTAGAGAGGAGCAAAGTATAAGAATGCTAAAAGGTTAGGAGGGGGACAGATGATGAAGGATTTTGAAGGCCAAAGGGAGGATTTGTATCTTGTATCTTATATTGGAGATAATATGGAACCACTGCAGTTTGTTATGTTGAGAGGATTGGGGGGGAGGGGGTCAGGCCTGTAGTTTGGGAATATGTTTGACAGCTGAATAGAGGATGAACTGAAGTGGAGAGGAGGCACTTGAGGCAGGGAGACCAACCAGCAGGCTGCTGTACCTTCAGTTATGAGGCGATGAAGGTCTGCACCAGGGTGGTGGCAGTGACAGAAGAAAAGTGTTGTGAAGGTGCAATCTTTAACAAGCCTTGGCAAATGATTGGATGTGAGGAATGAGAGAGAGAAAGGAAGAAAGGAGTCAAGAATGACACCTAGTTTTTGAGCCTGAGTGACTGGGAGAATGTGGTACCCTTGGCAGTAATTTCAAAGATGTTAGTAAGAGGGAAGATTTCAGTGCAAAAGATGAGAGCACTTTTGGACATGTTGAGCTTGAGATATCTGTAAGATACTTAGTTCATGATGTCCAATAAGCAGCTAGAGATTTGAGATCACTAGAGAGATTAGGGCTGGACAAGTAGATCTGCAAATTGTATGCATAAAGATAATAATTGAATCCATGAGAGCTAATAAGAGAAATATCTCACCTCTCACCAAAAGAAATAGAGGGAGAAGGGAAGAGGGTACAGGACAGAGCCTTGGGGAATGCTCACAGTTAGCCTGCATAACCTGGATGAAGAGCCCACAGAGGAGACAGAAGTCAGACAGGAGGAGAATCACGGAAAGCAGTGTCAAAAACAGAGAGGATGGACTATCAAGGCAGAGAAGGTGATGTATAGTGTCAGAGGCGGCAGAGAGGTCAACATGGATAAGGACTAAGGCCATTACATTTGTCAGATCATCATTCTTAACTTTGAAAAGAGCAATTTCAGCTGATTTACAGTTATCTAATCCACCAAAACTTGGACTCACACTTTCATCCCCCAGGTTTCATAGGTAAATATTCTCATCTTGCTGGGGCCTAGGCCTTGATGCCATCCAAGCCACCTCCTCACTGTGGTCCTACTTTCTACTCAAAACTTAAACTCTATTTTAGGAGGACCCCTCCCCAACTTGCCAGCACCACTTTATGTATTATCTTTGCCCATCAGAATGGTTATTTGTTGTAAAACAGTCTCAGTGCAGTACTGAGAAATATATATGTTATTTGGAAGACACCATAAATCTTTTAGCTCTAATTTCTTCAGCTATTTATTCAATTTGATATTTTCCAATTTGTTTATCTTTCATATCCAAAACCGAGGGACACTGAAATCTCCCACCAGTATTATAGTACTGTCTTTGTCTTCTTGTAATTCAATTAATTTTTTCTTTATGAATTTGAATATTAAGTAATTTGAATCATTTAAGTTTAACACTTGATTTGCTGTCAATAGCTCCTTTCATCATAATGGAGTTTGCTTTCCTTTCTCTCTTTGTATGTAAATGTTAAGTACTAACTACTAAATACCTATATAAGGAATATTTTTATAAGAGAATTGGAAAAGTGAGAGCACATAAGTGAGACCCAATATTTTATTTACTTAAAAGTATTTTAAATGAGTGATAAAAGATCCTTTTTAAATATTTCATTCTCCAAATGAGGAGTTGAGATTGTTTTTATCTTTTTTTTTTTTTTAATGTGAGAGGGTGAATGGAGGAAAGAAGTGGGATTTTTTTAATGTGAGGTCCCATAATCTTACACAACTTCAAAATATTAAATATAAAGAGATTAATTTTATAAGGTGCAACTTCTTGAAATAATTTTCTTATATTCAAATTTTTTTCCCAGAAAAAACATATTATTGTAAACAGAAAAAAAAACAGGAATATATTTCTGAAAGCCTTCATTGATGCTCTGTGCTTTTCCTACGGGATCCATTCCCTCTTTCCTTTGCGTCACAAACTTTGCAAGTTCCAAAGTCCTTTAAAAATTTTTCATGTATAAGCTAAGTTTTTGAAGACATACTACCAAGATATTTACAAAGTATGCTGTGAAAAGCTTTTTTTTTTTTAAGATTAGGATTATCCCTTGGAAAGCCCCAATTTCATTTTCAGTTAATAGACAAAAAAACAATATTGTAATCAACTTGGTTCTTTTTTGCAGAGAGACAGGAGTAATGATAAAACTTTATCCAAATATGACTGCAGTACTCCTTCATAATACCCAACTTGATCAAAGAAAGGTAAAAGGGCGGGGCTGCTGGGTGATAGGGGGCTATTATCATTCATACACTTTGTCTGAATACCCCTGGAAAATATACATAAAATAAGGCAGAAGTGATGCTAAAGGAAAAATGTGCTTATATTCCCAGCACTTACTGCCTATGCATATTCATGTTATGGATGTGATCCCAAGTATCCCTTTAGGTAAAACAGACAGATGTCAAACCCAGAGAGCATGCCAGGTGCCAGAACACCTAGCTGCAATTCTATTTTTATTTTCACTAAGTTGAGACAAAAAAAATGTTTTTTCCATTTAAACCTCAGTACAACTTTATGTTGACAATTAAACACACAAAGACTTCTTTTTCAGGTTAAACATCCAAGTGCCTTGGGATTAGAAGTTGGTCAAGAAATTCAGGTATGTATATTGCCATTCTAGTCCTGAAGTTATAACTCATATGTATAACACCTCTTACTTTCAAAGAAAGTACAACTAAAAAGAAAAAAATATTAAGGATAAGGGAAAAAATAAGGATATTATTCATATGCAATGTTCCTGCAGATTTCTTTAAATTATATATCTATTATATATAACCGTATATGTGTATATCCTCTGTGTTTATGTGAACAGCCTGTATTTAAATCAAATAAACACAATTCATTTATTTATTTATTAACAGCCTATTATGTTCAAGATACAAACAAATAAGAAATAAACAATCCCTGTCTACAAGGAATTTATAATCTAGAAGGAGAAATAAGGCATTAACACTTTAAAAATTAAACAGTATGAGAGTTAATACCAGAAAAGAAGATGACATAAGGCAGTCCATAATTAATTATCCAATGAGTATTATACATTTAGGGAGGGAAAATTTCACTTTTAGGCTTGAATGACCTAGAAACGTTTCATGGAACAAAAGAACTGAGCCAGACTTTGACAGATACAGAAAAGTTAACAAGGGGAATGGTGTGAGCAAAAGCTTGGAAGAATTTTTAAAGCACAAAACATTCATGGGGCAATATGTAATCTGCTTTGACATGTTCAGTAGGAGAGTAATGAGCTAGATTATGAAAGTCCTGAAAAGATAGGCTATTTGGACTTTATTCTGTAAGCAAAGGGAAACCCCTGGAAGTTTTTTTGACAAAAGATGGGTATTAATATATGTGACATATTCAAGTCTATAGTTGGGTTTTTTCATAATGCTTTGGGTAAATACATCCTTGCCACACAATTTACCTAGCAACCCTAAAAGAAATATGGCACCTGAGACAGTATATTTCTGTTATTCCTTCCATGATAATAAAGGAAATGTAGTAAAAGGGAAGCAACGCTAGGCCAAAGGCTAGAAGACCAGGGGACCTAAAATAAAGATGACTTTTCTGATCAAGCCTTATGTCATTCCACTGAGGTAGAAAACCTGAGGAGTCTGATACTGACATAATATAGTTAAATCAGACTACATCCCAAAGTAATGACTAGGAGTCTGGGAGAAAGTAAAAAATGAATGAATAGGTAAAGAAACATTCAGTGCATGTTTCCTACATGCAGAACCCTATGCTAAATAATGAGGATAAAAATAGAAAAACTAGGGGCAGCTAGGTGGTGCAGTGGATAGAGCACTGGCCCGGGAGTCAGGAGGACCTGAGTTCAAATTTGGACTCAGACATATAATACTCACTAGCTGTGTGACCCTGGGCAAGTCACTTAATCCCTATTGCCTCGCCCAAAAAAAAAACAGAAAAGCTAGACAATCCCTCTTCTCAAGTTGTTCACAGAAAACACAAATTGGTGATTTCATCTTCAAGCCAGATGAAAAAGCCCTATGGTCCCCAGGGTATATTCCCAAAGGAGATTTACCAAGAATGCATCTAACTTAGTGTCATTTCCATTCATAAAAATAATCTCTGTTTCTGATGTTGAACCATTTGACAGGAACAAGTAAGAAGTTTTCTTTTCTACATCTTTAGTAGAGGAGACAAGAATAAGGAAAAGTTCTAATCTAGAAATAGAAGATAATAAAATTGAATTACTCATTTATAGAACACCTAAGTCACTATCTCTAGAATGTCATGTTTATCTAAGGCATCTTAAATTTTAACTTGTTTGATTTGAAAATATGTTTTTTAATTTAAGAGTAAATCTCTGTCATTATCCATAACAGGTGAAATACTTTGGACGTGACCCTGCTGATGGGAGAATGAGGCTTTCTCGAAAAGTGCTTCAGGCTCCAGCTACAAATGTTATCAAAACTCTAAGTGACAGAAGCAGTATTGTAATGGGAGACTCTGTTCCACAGTCATCCAGTTCTTCTTCCCAGTGATAATGTGAAAAAATAATCAGAGATGTTATTTATACACTGATCAAGATTTCAAAAATTCTAGAACGTCTTCTGTTGTTCAGATTTGCATATAACATAAATATAATCCTAATAATTTGTGTTAAAATTAGTTTGACTTTTCTAGTTAATATTTAATTTTGGCAGCAGCCTATATCATTACCTTTTTTTGTTCACAGTTATCTTTGAAAATAGAAGAGTGAAATTTTTATACTCTCAGACATACTTAAAACTGCCACAGAAAGAATCATTATGGTATTAGTGGAAAAAATAGTCCTACAGTCAGAGGACCTCGGTTCAAATCCCTCTTCTGATGCAGTTCTCGTGTAACATTGGGCAAGGCGCTTTACCTTTCTGGGCCTCAGTCTCCTCGTCTATAAAATGAAGGAGGTTGGACTAGATGGTCTCTGGAGTCCCATCTCAAGATCTATGATCCTTGAAACACTTTTACACAGAAGAGTTGTAATGAATCATATAAACAGAAATTTCCATTTACAGTTCTAATGGGTCTCCTAAAAAAGACAAATCTTTTATCTGACAGAACCAGGTGTCAGTCTCCCTGCTCTTTATTACCACATAGCCAATTCAGTGCAGGCCTGCTTAGACCAATAGCTGCTTCCAAATGAATCTGTAAAGACTGAAGCCAAATTTTATAAAAAGAGTAATCCACCTTCCCTTTACTTCTACTCAGTCGTTTATATGTGTGTATATACATATATAAAATACAGTTATCCCTTCCACAGCATGGGGGTTAGTGGCAGAGTGCCTCTGTGGTCTGGAAAATCTGCATAAACTTTTTTGGCCCTCCCCCCTTCCCTTCGTACCAGAGAAGAAGTGGTATTATGGTATTAAAAGATAAAATATGTTGATACTATACAAAACTATACATATGTTTTGTGCATTTCTGAGTTTCCAGATTTTTTCTGTGTTGTCTACTGACCTCCACGTGTCATCTGCATCTCCCGCAAAACTCCCCCCAAAATTCCCATTTAATTTCTTAGGCCAACCCACAGTATATAGAAACCAAGATGGGAAAAGTCCCAATGTGGAAGGGATAGCTGTAGTGAAGAGTAGCAGTGGCCAGTTTATTGACATGTTGGATACCTTAGAGCATGGGTTCTTAACCTTTTTTTTTTTATCTCAGACTCCTTTGTCATTCTGGTATACTGTTGATCCCTTCTCAGAATAAGGTTTTCAGATGCATAGAATAAAATATATAGGATTACAAAGGGAATCAATTACATTGAAGTAGTTATCAAAATTTTTTATAAACAAGTTCACAGACTCCAGAACTCTTGCCCTAGATATAAGCTTTTAGAAATGAAGTTGCTTTAAAAAAGGTAGTTTATACTTATATATTGAAACAGCTATTTTAGAATAGCACCTTAATAGCCTATATTAATACACATCCAAAGTTTTATAAATTTATATCCAGAAATAGTTTTTTACACATCAAGTAAGATTTGGACCATTTTTTAAGTCTCTCTAATCTTCAGTGAAAAGAAAAATGAATCAGAGGTGAAACAATCTGGCTTTGGATCCCAGGTCTGGTACTTCATGTATCACCCTGATAAACCCCTCAGCCTCTCCAGGCTTCATTTTCCTCACCTGTAAAAAGAGATGGTTGGACACTGATTTCTGAGGTCCTTTCCAATGCCATCTTTATCATTTTACATATGTTTTGTATACTGTCCTAGGTATAAGATATAAGAAAATTAAAAGATTGCCAATAGACACTGGAGTAGTTTGCTAAAGCACCCAAAGATGATGTAATATTTTGAATAGAATGTCATACATAATCTGACAATCCTTTTTCTAGCTTATTTCGAGAAATATGCAAACAAATCATGTAAAACTATCCATCTCAAGAAAAACATCAAAATATAAAACTTTTATATGTTCATTTTAAGATGGGGGATACAGATTGTATATAGGAATTAGAATTTAGGAAAAATAAAAGCTTTACAAAAGTTTGACCCACAATTAAAAAAGCTAAGACTCTGTACTACATAGTAATTCATTGGATATCAAGGTTTTCCTAGCCAAACTAAGATTTTTTTAAAAATGTCTGTATTAACATCTAAAATTGCAGTTAAAGGCAATGCTATAGTAGTAGTTCACCTAGACTTTGGCAAAATTTGGGGTATAAATCATACTATTCTTTTTGAAGATAAAGGGATAGGGATTATATAATGATACAATCAGGTGGTTGGATTTCCAGATTCAAAGAGTAGTTTCTAATGGTTCTGTGTCAACATGGCAGGAGATCTCCACTTGAGTACTCTGGTGATGTGTACTTGCCTCACTGCTCATTAATATTTTTATTAATAACTTATAGACAAATGATATGTTCATCAAATTTGCAGAAGTCACAAACATGAAATTCAGTGGGGATATATATAAAGTCTTGTACTTAGGTACAAAATGTTAACTTTACAACTTTAAGATGGGGACATCTTATTATATAGATAGACAGCAATTGTTCTGAAGGTTCTGAATTCTTCTGAAAGATCTGAGGGTTTAGTAGACTACAACCTCAGTATAAGTCAACAGTGTGATACAGCAGCCAAATCTTGGGCTGCTTTTGGAGGGGTATACCCTCCAGGAACAGACAGGTAATAATCCCAATGTACTCTACCTTTGTCAGGCCTCAACTGTAGTATTGTTTTCAGTTCACAATTTAAGAAGGACATGGATAAAGTGGAGAGTGTCCCAAGGAGAACAATCAGGAAGAGCCTTTACAAAAGTTCTTGACAAACAAAAAAAGTAGTTGAAGAAACTGGGCATGTTTAGCCTGGGGGAAAAAATATAGACTCAAGAAAGATGTGATCATTCAAGTTTTTGAAGGCTTGTCATGTGAGGAAAGACTGTTTTGTTTGTCCTTAAAGGGAATAACCAGCAGCAATGGATGGAAGTTACAAAGAGACAAATTTGGGCTTGCTGTTAGGAAAACTTCTAACAATTAGAGCTGTCCAAAACTGGAAAGGATTGCTTTTAGAGGTGGTGAGTTTCCCCTCCTTGAAAGTCCTTAAGCAGAAGCTGTGGATGACTGACACTTGTCAGATATAATTCCTTTGGGTATCAGCTGAATCAGATGGCTGGTAAGGTTCCTTGAGACTCTTAAATACCATGATATTTTCTATTTTTCCTTGGAAGTAAACAGGGTTTACTAAAAATGAAACTTTCTATAACCTATTTATGGTAGAATATAGTTTATTTTACGAAAGCACATTCTCATCTTTCTTGACCTTATTTAATGATGCCTATCTTAATATAAGAATTCTTATATTTCCTCATTCTAAAACTGAAGATATTTTAGATAAGTTTTCCATTTGTCCTTTTGTCACAGGGAACTACAATAGCTGAAATGAAAAACAAAGGCTGTATCTAGAGTAGTCAAAACATCCATTGGAAATTGGCACTAGCAAGAAAGGGAAAATAATTCTGTATTCAGCATAAATTATTTCCTTTTTCTTCTAAACTCTTAAGAGAATCTTTTCTTTCATGGGTTCATAGCATCAACACATGAAAATTTATGCCTTCTTATTCTTATTTTTATTAACTATTATTTTTCTTCGTAACTTTATGAAAGCCAGAAAATTTACTTCTTTATGTGCCATGAGCTTGTTGACTTGATAGAAACTTAATCCAAATCCATTGCCCAAATATGGTGGTCACCTCATCACAGGAAACAGGCAGCATCTATCACCTTTAGGTAGCCTCTGTCCTGTTGCTATCCTTATTTTATTTTATAGTTACTCTTTTTTTGTACTATACTCAGTCTCACCAATCTACTTTATATCTTTCCAGAAGTAGGCATCCTAAATAAAGGCAGTTTAACTGGTAGTGGAGAGAAAGAAATTGGTTAAATGTCCTATATGCTTATTTTATTTAATACATAATTTTTACTATATGCCATGTAAATTAAGAATATTCTAAGAAGTTTACTATAAGAATGCTGTCCAGAGAGCACTCCTGAATTAGACAGACACCACCATCACGTACAATTGTGCTTCCTTTTCTTGCTTGTGTCTTGATTTTCTACATGTAAAATACCTTTGTATATCTCAGCATATTTATTATTGTAATACAAAATATAACCTTTTTTGTGACAGGAAAGCAGACCAAGATCCATCACAAGCCAAACAGATTTTACTTGCTAACAAGCAGAGACAGTCAGATTGCTCTATTATTCTAATTTTGCAAAGCCTACATACACTTATTGCTGTCTGTGTGAATTACTCTATCAATAAGAAAAATATGTACAATAATTAAAATATTCTTTGGGATTTGGCAGCATATCAAGGAACAGAGAAGAATGGTTCCCAGTATGTTTTGCTTCATAAACAATTTCTAGCTGATACTGCAATAAGGTCACTTTGCTAGTTCAGGTCTTTGTTCAACATGGAGTCAAGTCTTCTCTTTTCTCACTTGCTTTCATTTAGTACTTTCTGACTTTAAAGAATAATTAAAATAACCAAAACTAGGTTCTCAGTGACTATGCCAGTAGTGTACAAACTAGAGCTGGTTTTAAAAGATGGAAGGGCTTTAAGTATGGTACCGGAAACAGGTAATAACTGCTATCAGAGGACCATTCTAAGTACGGAGGGAGACACTCATTCCTATCTGAGTACAGCCAAATAATAAATCCTCTGGCTATGCTAACAAGTGAAGAGAGAAAATATAAAATGACCCTCAGACCTGTGCAACTCCTGCTACTTTAAGGGGCCAGAGGAAAATAGTTTTAAGACTATATATGATTATTAATTTAACTTGATATTCATTATGAGATCTTTACCCAAATGCCAATGGACTGACATATGCTGGAGACAATGAATCACATTTTCTCCCTATGAGTGGATAACAGGAGAAATTAATCGATGGTTTTAACTCATTGAAACAACTTGAACTACAAAGTATCACAACTGCAGGTTACCCAAAGGGAAATCAGAAAAGCATTTTTGATCAAAGTAGGTCCACCATATTACAGATAACTTTTGGGTAAAAAGTATAAAATGTCAAGGACATAGATATGATTGGAAAAGTAGGTAGGTTGAAGGAGAAAAGTTGAGTGTATATCAAGGAGTTATCAAATGAGTCTGCAAGCTTGCAAAGGTGCTACTAAAGTGAGATGAGGAACAATTTCTGAGTTGACCACCCAATTCAAAAAAAAAACATTTAAGTGTCTACACTGTCCATTATAGCAGTTCTCTAGAATAGTTAGCTGAAAGGATTCTAGCAAGGATGATGGAAGGACTGAGGATTTGCTTCTGAAAACAGAGGCTCCTTGAAGGCAGGGACTGACATATAGGCTCTTAATCAAGCATTTCCTCATCACCTATAAGTCAGGCACTATGCTAAAAGGTGAGTATACCACTGCAAAATTTGACAGTCACTCCCCTAAAGGAGCTTATGTTCTAATAGGGAAAACAACATATAGGGAAAGAAGTATGTAAAAAACAAAGGCATTTTCTAGAGCAGGTGAGACTAGCAGTTGTGGAGCAGAGGTGGTACAGTAAAACCAAGGCCTAATTTTGAGTACTGTTCTCAAGTATAGTCAAGTAGAATCAGTGAAATCAGTCTAAAAGAAAGGCAGGAGTTAGCTTGTGAAGGTCTTTAAATAGACCTCCAAAAAAAGGAGTTTGCATTTCACCCTAGAGGCCAATGGGGAGCCATGGAAGTTTCTTGAGCAGTGCAATAACATGGCAATTAATAAATCAGTAGGCACTGGAAGTAGGGAACTGGAAGAACTTTGCAGTGGTTTGTATAAAATCAGTTGTTTGTTTGCCACAACCAAGTAGTTCTCCTTGATCAAAATGCTTTTTATAGCCCCCCTCTCTCTCACCCCCACCCTCCCCCTCTTTCTTCTGCCTTTCTACCTCTCCCCGCTTTCTTCTCTCCTTTTCCTCTTTTCTCTCCACTCTCCTTTCCCCTTTCCTCTCTTCTTCCTTCTTCCCTCTCCTTTTTCCTCCCCTTCCCCCTCTCCCTCCTTTCCACTGTCATTTTGCTGGTAGCCCTCATGCATGCTGTTCTGGCAAACCTAAACCGCCTGTGTATTCCTCCACTGCTGCCTAGTGGATGCTCCTACTCCTTGGCAAAATGAAACTGAATCTCACACCTAACTATTCATCTTCTCCCCATTCATAATACTCTGTCTCTTGATCACAATCCCAGAGTTTCTGTTCTAGCCCTTG